TATTTCATACATTTGTGACATTCCTTGGAGGAGGCATATGTTCAGCAGTGGACTTGTGAAGGGCTGTACTGATGATGATGATTATCATTATTATTATTATTACATACTGTGTACCAAATATTAAATGTCTATGTTAATAGCCAATAAATCAAAATACAATAGGAAATTAACAAGTCAACATCAAGAATATATTATTTAATTAACTGCTATTTTAAATTAAATCGTTTTCTTCAGATTAATTATTTTTGTCGACACCATCGTCGTCGGTTTTAGATTGATATAATTTATTTGTACCAATTTGTTTCACAACGTTTATCGGAATTTCAATTTCTTTCTCTAACCGCAGTGTACACTTAACACTTAAAAAATATAATTCGAAACAAAAGTCGAAACCACCAGTTTTAGTGGAAAATCCACGAAGTTGGCAACATTACACAACACTGAGTATCCACACGCGCCAAACGCGCCGCGTTATATGACGTCATCAGCATTCGTCCTTCGATATCGTATACCTACCGCATTTTATAAAATTCGGCGCGTACGGTGCGGGTGTAGTGTGCGAGGTTTCATATGATTTCATACAACGAATTCTAAAATTCGGCGCGTACGGCGCGTACGGCGCGGACATATGTGCGTTCAGCTTTATAAACATGTATGTTACACAACTAACAACACAAAACAAATTAGAAATAGCTTCATCACCTTATTCCCAGCTTACTTCATCCATAAATTCCTTAATATTATAATAACCCTTTTTATTCAAACTTAATTTAATAAAGTTTTTGAATTTTGAGCAAATAATAATTGTTAAACTTAGATTTCCGCCAAAAGTTTACTACCACGATTAAATTTACGAACTTTGATAACTCCAAACCTAAATATAACCGGTTTTAAATATATTAGATTTAATCAATAAATTAGAAAGAATCAAATATCCAGTTGTAAATACAATTCAAAGTGGTACAATAGACCATCAAAGGAAATGCCACTGTTATTATACTGTTCTCAAGTTTGGATTTGAAATCGGTATATGCAGCAGTTGCCGGTCATTGACATTTCTTTCAACCATTTAAATTTCATCCTTATCGGCTTCGGACTCGTCGGCTAGTGGCTCAAATGAGGACTTATTTACTATCTTTCAATGATAGTATTACTCATCGCATCGGCTTGAACTTTGCGTCTCGCTTATATCAAGATGTTCGTCGATTACGTAACGCATATTTAAATTATTTTATCCGGTCGCATAATGTCTATAACCAAACCGATTCCACCTTTGATCAACACTGTCATTAATTTCCTTATTTTAATGTTATTGCTTATTTTAATAAATCCATCTAAATCAATTTCATCCGGTTATCTACTGACCAAAGTAAACTTAAAGTTGATGTATTCTATATTTCTTTAATATTTGCCAAGTGCTTTTGTGTTTGCTTTATACTGTATAGAATTGCATATCGTAAAAAGGTATTTAAAAATTTACCACTGTTGCCACTGTGTCCTTTAACAATGTAGCACCAGTTATAAAATTAACTTTCGTAATTAAGCCTGGTAGTTAGTAATTAAGTGCACGCCTTAAAATTTCATTGTATGCGAGCAACCGACAGTCCTCGTAGTCATTAATAAAATTGTTAGTTGCTCTTTTATGTACTGAGTTGCCATGTGATCAGTGGTAAAGTGCATTATTAAAAAAAAAACAAATTTCGAGAACGTGTTAAGGACGTCAACACGCATTGGAGCATCGCAGCAGAATTCCTTGTCTATTAAATCCTATATATAAAAAAATGGGAGGAGGCCTGTGCCCAGCTGGGGGACGTAGGGTTTTGATTTTAATTAATTTTTATTAACATTATATTATAAAACATTTATTTTTGATAAAGCGAGCAGTTTTCGCTGCTTCTATAACGTTTTATTTTTATAGGATAGGGTGACAAACCAACACACAGTCCACCTGATGGTAAGTGGTTGCTGTGGCAGATAGACAACTACATCTATCCTCGATTACGAATCAAAATGCAGATACGTTGTCACACGTGAGGACTAAGGTGGAATGCCTCGTTTCCAGTAAAAAGGGTCTCCGGTTCTCTACCCTCACCATACGAAACACAGCAGCATTAAGCTACTATTTTACGCTGGTATTCTGTGAGAGCGTGGTCCTTTCCTGGTCAAGGCGACCCATTCGTGTTACAACTATACTACTAATATAACTGCAGCATGTCTCTACCAGGCTTCAAATCAACATAAATCTAAAATCGTTGAAGTGACTTAAATGAAACTAAGAGTAAATTTGTGATAAACTTTACTATCTATAACCTTATGAAACTTCATAAAATCTCCAAGCTTCCCTAGTTACCTTATCGCCCCATTGGCTTTCCAAGGTGGCTTCCCTTCAGAATACCATTGTTATTTAAGCCAAGCAGAAGCACCTCGTAAGTTCTTAGTTAGTACATAATACTGACTATAATGGATGCCATACACGATCCAGTTTAACGTCATGGCGTCTCGCTTATTTGCTCCGACTACTGTCTTGTATACTTGACCGCTCATACACACATTCAAGTTTGCACGACGCTGCAAACTTGATCAAGTCGGCAGAATCGAAATTCAATTTTTGCTTCAAGTAGACTTGTCATGCACACTGATAGCCATATACCGTCAAGTTTACCGGACGCCGCTTCAAGCGCGTTGCAAACTTGACGGTAAACTGGATCGTGTATGGCATCCATAAGATTTACTAATACAGATCATTATGCGTAGATGTTTTTTTTTCACTGTATATATTTTGTTTCATAAATTGACGCTTGACTACATTTCTATTTAAGCTCATAGCACAGAATAATGTCATAGGTCGAAACATTAAAATAAAACTGTCGATAGTTCTCATTGTGAAATTACTATTTTTATTAAGTCTTATGGAGCTGGATTATATATGCAAGTAGCATTCCTTATTCAAATAACATTTTACGAAACTTATTTCATTAATACTACAGTCTCATTATTAAGTAATGCGATCGTTATTGTGACGACATAATCCGTTTATGCCAGACTAGATTAGATTTTAAATACATACCTAGATTATAAAATAATCTAGGTTTTAATTTCTGTTATTTTTGTTAGAATAATATCGCCCGGTAATAATGATAGACCCGACCCATCTTTGTTTCATATACTATAATCAAATAGGTTTATGTATCATTTACTCTTAAGTACATGGCCTAAGTGATCATAACTGCATTAATATCTAACGTGTCGCAACGTTATGAATGTATTATAGGTAACAGGATTGCATATCGGCTTACAAGGCATTGTGTTGGACGGTCGATGAAATGTGCCTTACAATATGTTCCTCGTAGAGTAATAGTAACAGTAGAGTCGCCTCCGGCAATGATGTATTGAGAGTGATGTTCTTTATTAGTGAATAGAAAGAAGTTGTTTAAAGCTGTTTGTTTGGGTATTTGTTTTGGAAGGTGGAAAAAGAGATTTACAAATTGTATTGTTAATGTGATTCAAATATGAAGCAGTATCAGATTATCTTATGGTTCGTAATTTATAAAGTCTATTTGGTACGGTGGTGGAGTGATCAATTATAATAACTATAAATAATTGCTCTTTAATAATCATCAATAAAATCCAATCCGAATTCTGAGTGTTACTATCACGGCAAATTTTACCCAATATTTTTTATAGAATGGCGGTGACAAACGAGCACTCAGTCCATCTGATCGTAAGTGGATACTGTAGCTCATAGACATCTACATCTATCCTCAATTAAGAATCAAAATGCAGATGCGTTGTCACCTCTAAGAACTAAGATGGAATGCCTCGATTTCAGTAAAAGGGGTCTTGTCTTGTCTCAGTCCCAATACAGACTTCTTAAAAATATCTATGTGTCATATATCATTTCTATTTATCATATAAAATCTAAAATTAGCATCTTCCTGATTACAACTCAAAATGAAAAACCCGTTTGATACCTCGTCTACCAAGTGGCAACTATAACAAATAACCCTCTCTCTATGAGGCAATTTATAGGGAAGGCCTATGTTCGGCAGTGGACTTTTGATAATGTTGTACATAAACTGCAAAGAAGCCTATGAATGCATTGCCACCTTTGTGGACCAAGGTGGAAAGCTTGACTTCCTGTAATTATACTCGCTCTTTTTATACACTTTAGACGGAAACAGTAGTGCAAGTACTGCTATTTGGCAATAGAAATGAGTAAGAGAGTAATACCAATCTAGAACGACTTCTTAGTAGAAAAAAGTTTTTACGTGGTAGAGCCATGCTGCAGCTATATTTTACGTGGTAGAACCATGCTGCAGCTATATTAATAGTATAGTTGTAGCACGAATGGGTCGGCTCGACCGGGGAAGGACCACGCTCTCACAGAATACCAGCGTAAAATAGCAGGTTAACACTGCTGTGTTTCGTAGGGTGAGTGTAGAGAAGCGGAGATCCTTTTTACTGGAAAAGAGACATTCCATCTTAGTCCTCACGGGTGGCGACGCATCTGCATTTTGATTCTTTATTGGGGACTAGCTGTTCTCCGCGACTTCGCCTGCGTGTTATTTGGGGTTTTAATTTTTTTGCGCGGAACTCTAATTCTTTTTCTAAAATAAAAGTTGCCTAAGTTACTTCTTGTGATATCAGCTATCTGCCAGTGAATCAAATCCCGTCAAAATACGGTACTAACAACAAAAATGTATTTTTGTTGTTAGTACCGTATATAATTCAAACAGACACTTCAATTTTATTTATTTGTATAGATAAATGTAGATATTTATGGGTCACAGCAACCACTTACTATCAGGTGGACTGTGTGCTCGTTTGTCACCCTATCCTATAAAAAAGAACCCTAGTACTATCTTGAGTCTATCAAACATTCGTTTAGCTTATTATGCAATACAAGTCGTGCGTCTAGCGCTTAATCTACCGCGGTTCCATATATTATAAGTGTAGTGTTAGTTAAGAAAATAAATGATAATATTCCGTTTCTATTCCAGACGGCTGAACGGAGCGCAGGCTGGGAGACACACAGAGTGCGTCTTAACAGAGTGCCAGGCTATGGATTCGGTATCGCAGTGTCAGGCGGTCGGGACAATCCTCACTTCGCCAGCGGTGACCCTTCGATTGCGGTGTCCGATGTACTTCGAGGCGGACCCGCTGAAGACAAACTACAGTTTGTAATCTTTTATTAATCTAATTTTCGTACTCTTATATAATTATAAACAACTTTAATAAATTGTATAAAAATAACCGTGATAATAGGATTGTAACATGATAGGGTAACCTTATCGTTACACTTACATACATACGTGCCAACTCTGGAGACAAGGCTATTTAGACGACATTGCGATTTGATATTACTTAGTCCATTCAAAGGGTAAATAAACCTAGCAAGCTAACAGCATAGCAAAGTGGCGAAGCAATCAGCTTTGTAGCGGTTTCTAACGGTTGCTGTTGAGCAATCAGTTTCAAAATAGGAGGTTCAGATGCCTGGGTGATCAGTAATCGATTGCTGAAAACAATTTGAAAATTCAAAACCTTTCTCGAAATAATCGTGGGACAGACGGACAGACGGACAGACATCGTGAAATCAATAAGTGACTTCGCCAGCTTCGCCACTTAATAAAATTAATACCGTCTTCAAAGAAGAAAAAATAATTTTACATTCTGAAAGTTTGGCTGCTAAGACATTATTATTATTATTATAAAGCCATTTATTTCCTTAATAAAATTATTAAAATACATTTCATTAATTAATAATTTCATTAAACTATTTAAAATTAGAAACAAAATTATAACATAATCAGCTCATGAAAGAAAATACATTTAAATAAGATAAAATTATCGTTACAATCAATAATTTTTAATTTTAATTTTTGTTTTTATTTATCTAATTATTGTTAATTACTGCTAAGACATATTATAAAATAATTAAAGTCACGACATTTTTTTTAAAATTTCTACTCCAAAACTACATAAGCCATCATAAAATAATTATAATATTATTTTTGTAGTATAAATAGTTCGAACTTAAAAGTATAGACCTTGTGATACAAATGCCTTTTTTATAGGATAGGGTGACAAACGAGCACACAGTCCACCTGATGGTAAGGTGTTGCTCTTACCCATAGACATCTACATTTATCCTCAATAAAGAATCAAAATGCAGATGCGTCGTCACCCGTGAGTAAGATAGACTGCCACTTTTGCAGTAAAATCGGTCTCCGGTTCTCTACACTCACCATACGAAACACAGCAGTGCCAAGCTGCCATTTTACGCTGGTATTCGGTGAGATGATGCTTAATGATACTTAATGCGCTGGTGATAGCAATGTTATCCCATTTTGTTCCGTGGGTTATGTAAGAGGCCACTGTGGTAAATGTCTAATACCAGAGACGGGAAGTAGTGACAAAGATGCATGGTCCATTAATACCGAACGACCATCACGACTTCCTCTACAAATATAAATTCGTACGTGTCACTGTTATTACTCAATTTCTTTTTTATTCCAGAGTAAACGATCGAATAGTGTCAGTAAACGGGGTACCCTTAGAGAATGTGGAATATGCACGGGCGGTGCAAGTGCTGCGAGATTCAGGTGCTGCTGTCTCGTTGGTGGTGCGCAGACGAGCGCCAGCCCCACCACCAACTGCTCCTACTACCATAAAACTGTCGCTCACTAGGAATGGAAAGAAAGAAGGTAAGCACTTGGAGTTAATCTCCGAGTCCGGATTAGGTTGTTTTTATGAGAATAGAAACCTTGTAGGTACATCTATTTCCATAGGTTATTACTAAATTAAATTGCACATATTTAACTTTCATAATATATTTCACGCAGAAATCACCTAATGTTAAAAGTATATACTGAATAGTAACTACACTCATAATTTACAAATCTTATCCTCATGTTCTTCCGAGATATTAATATTTTTCTTTTCATTACGCTTAAACAACGGCTGTGCTTAAACAATAGTGTTTTACACTCGGGTAAAAAAGAGGTGAAATTCTGCACTGAAAACCTAAAGAACAATGTGTCATACGGCTTTGGGAGATGACCTATTGACTAATTTTCTATAATTTACTTAATAGTTAAGACTAAGAATAAAGGTACAGGCCTAAAGGCACAGGCCTCAGGGCACAGGCCTAAGCAATCGCCTAGGAATCGTTAGCGCGTGGGAATCATACTGCAATTCTACGTAATGCTAAAAATAAAGAAGAGAAAGAGTTCGCTTTAATTTCAATATGAATACATTTATACTATACAGCGAAACCAGTCTTCAACCGTCAAACAAAGCTTAAGACGATTTTTTTACGTGGTAGAGCCATGCTGCAGCTATATTAATAGTATAGTTGTAGCACAAATGGGTCGACTCGACCAGAATTCCTCTCACAGAATTTCAGCGTAAAATGGCTGCTTAATGCTGATGTGTTTCGTATGGTGAGTGTAGAGAGCCGGAGACTCATTTTGCTGGAAGGGAGGGATTCTATCTTAGTCCTCACAGCTGACAATGCATCTGCATTTTGATTCGCAAACGAAGATGTAGATATCTATGAACCACGGCAACCACTTACCATCGGGAGTACTGTGTGCTCGTTTGTCAACCTTAATCTATAAAAAAAAAACGATTCCCACTAGAGTTATACAATCGCACTGCTGGCCTTAGCCTCACCAGAGTTACCTTGTACTTGTAAGTATTCTGTGCCCGAGTAAAGAGCGTTTGGCGGGCGTGCGGCACATAATATTGAGCGGCCGTCACTTTACACTGTAATGCAAGTGCGTTTAACATCTCGCCGAAGGCCCCGCCCGCTGCACTCTCGTCTCTCAGCTTTAATACACTAGCCGTGCACTAGTCATTTAAAAAGAGCTTGAAAATAATGATTTATAATTTTATTATAAGTGACTCTAGAATTATACGGGCAGAAGCTATTAAAATAAAATAAATAAGTTACTTTTTTTTCTTTCTAAAATGGTGGCCTTTAAACCTAGTGAGTGTCAGTCAGGTTTGTGAATTTAGTATATCTTTTTGTTTATAGTATAAGAGTGACAAACGAGCACATAGATACCTGATAGTAAGTGGATGCTGTGGCCCATATAGAGCCACAGTTATCCTTAATTAAGAATCAAAATGCAAATGTGTTGTCATCCCTGAGGTCTAAGATAGAATCACAAACTAACTAGAAACACTCACGGATGGAATGTCTCGCTTTCCATCCGTGAATCCGGTTCTCTACATTCATCATAAGAAACGAATAAAATTTCGAAATTCTTTGAAATTAAAAAATTTCACTTTATAGGTGTTTTCATGATTCATAATTAAGTATAATATTAATTTATGGAAGTAGACGTCTACGGGCACTAATTTGGAAGAGCCTAAATTTTAGAATCTTTGAACCTACCGGTCTACAACCGTTCTAAAATACATCTACCTGCAAATATGTGCGTATTTATGGTGTATAATATCTTTAATATTTTACAAATGAACTCATACTCCGCCTATCTGTGTTATATAATCAAGACTTTCGCTAATATTTCAGATTTTGGAATAGTCTTAGGATGCAAATTATATGTCAAAGAGCTCACAATGAGGGCGAGAGAACAACTGAATCAAGCAGGTCAGGGTCTTTGCGAAGGTGACGTGGTAACTCGGATCAACAACACACCGGTGACAGACGCCATGACACTGAAAGAGGCGAAGAAGTTGGTTGAGTCTTGCAAGGACCGGCTAAACCTGGTCGTCACAAGAGAGTTGATCAGGGAGGAGACTGTGACGAATGGAAATTATCAGAATAATTACAACAGTCTAGGTAAGAACGTTTCATTGTTATTGTGTAGTAGTTTAAACTCATGGCAATTGACAGCCTGTTGTTTTATTCAATTATCATCATCATTACAATCAATACAATTAACCACTGCTGAACATAGGCTATTGTTATTGATTGCTACAAAAAACGGTCCTGATCCACTTCCATCCACAGATTTAATGGAAATACTTCTATGTACTTATTCTACTAGACGGGAATTATGAAACTAATACATTGCGCACTATGTTACGGTTAATTCTCCGTAAATTCTATATCTTATATAAGTACGTGATGCTAATATGGTCACCTTAAGCTTTGCCGCCCTATAAAAACAAAACTAGTCAAACTAGTCGCCCTATAAAAACAAAACATAGTCGTATACTATAACTAATATATTAAGAAAAGAAAATAGCAAACAAGCTTTGGCAATAATTAGGAACACTTCGAAAAGTTAATTTAAAGAAAAATTACTACATTACTCAATGCTAAAACTAACTAAAATATTTACTATAATGTCGACTATCAAAATGGCGTCGATAAAGCAGCGCCTTTTGACACTTTATTATTTGATTGACTGATGAAGAGCTATCGTATCACAGAACTATCTCTGCGAACAAGGCTGTAGTTTTTGAGTTATAAGAAAGTGATCATATTAACCGGATGACCATATTACCATCACGTACTATATTCAATCTATTCTGTCATTCGAAAAAATTGGCTTGATGAAATCGGGAAAATTCGGTATTAGGCCTGACTGAAGCAAGGACTTTTTAATAGCTTTCTAATTTTTTTAAAAATTTTCTCTGAATGTAAATAAGTACCATTGTAAGAATATCAACTACCTCATATCGAGCTGTGGGTGTCGTAAGAGGCGACAGAGGGAAGTAAACTAGGCGGAAGATGAACGGCAGCATCTTCCTAATAACAACAAAAATATTTAAAAATCTGCGGTTGTCAACACTGCGGTTGGTAATTATAACCAAGAGAAAATCTCTAAGAGACAATCTATGGGGAGACTATTATTAAAAGTAGTTAGTGTAGATAACCGGATTATTTTTCAAATGGTGACGTGGATAAAGGCAATTCATCTTAAATTCTCAATCGAGGATAGACGCAGGTGTCTATGGATAACACTATCCACGTACAGAAAACATAGTAAATGGACTGTGTGCTCGAGTGTCCTTATTTGTACAAAGCAAAAAAGAAAGTACCTACGTACCTATGTGTCGTTCCGCAGAGGCGTCGCCGCACACGTACGGGGCGGAGTCTCTGTCGTACGTGGGCGGCGGCAGCGGCGGCGGACAGAACGTGTACGTGGCGGCGCCCGTGCGCGGCGCCGAGCGGCGCAACGAAGTGGACCAGCCGCCGCGCCCCCCGCCTCCCCGCAGCGACGGTAAGCTAACTCCGCAGTATTAACTAGAAGCACCTACATCAAAACCAACTAAAATGGTCGTTTTAAAGCCGGCAATACATGTTGGCAAAGCCTCAACCAACGCGAGCGTAGGCAAATTGATACATAGCGAGTGCGAAAGTCTACATGTTGGTTAGTTTGAAAGAGTGAACATATTGACATGGCTGACTACCGACTTACCGAGTGATGACCGACGCTGTTCCGAAGTGAGACGATTCGTGGTCAACAAATTTCAAAGAAAGAAGGCTACTCACTAGGGTTTGTGTGAGTGACTGTGAGGTGTTACGTATTACGTCTTAATTACACAACTCTAATACTCTAATGTCTTCACACAATGTATACATTTCCTATTTAATTTCTTATGGAAACCATCCAAACTAAAGTATTTAAATGATAGTTAAACCGAATAATAACCAATAACAATAAACATTTAGAAACAAATGGAAAATCGATTTTCACTTATCAAATAAGTAATAAAAATAATAACACTGATTTTTAGTCAACGCCGAAGACAATTTTTTTTAAATAATCGTTATATTATTATAATCGTTACGTTATAATATTATGGAGTCGGTTGACATACAAAAACTGCACGACACAAATCGCACCCCGGAACAATGATTTATAGACCACGCAAACATTTATTCCGTGCGGGACTCTTCCTTCGGGACCCGCGACCTTCCGTCTTTTAATATTAGGAGTCTGTTTTGTTTGGTACCATGCCCTCACATATTTTTGCCACCAAGCTGCTGTGCCACCACCTACATATTTGACACCATTCCATTCGCTGATGGAGAGATTTTTCCATACTTGCCACTCTCGGCGAGCAGGTTGGCAACCGCAGTTTTTTATAATTTCGAGTATTTATCAGGAAGATGCTGCTGCCCATCTCCTACTTCGTTTACCCTCCGTCGTCTCTTACGATTACGACACCCTGGGGACGATATGGGGTAGTGGATTTTCTTACACAGCCACTTCACGGCTACACCTCCGTATCTAACAAAGACGGGACCTTATAGAGAAATAATGTTTCGTTTCCAGATTATTACTCTAGTCGAAGACAACTGTACGAAGAAGATGGAATGACAAATCAAAGGAACAAACCACCGTAAGTGCCAATTAATTCTTCTAATTATATATGTACAAAGAATTACTTCACTCTTCGTTGTAACTTCTAAGCATTAAAATTGAATGCCTCTCAGCATCTAATTATACTGACTCTCTATGCCCTTAATAACAGTAACACAACAGTGAACGCACTGCTTGGTGACAAAATAGGTAAGAGAGTAGTACCTCCCACAGTTTTGTCGCACAGCGCGACAAATCTCGCGATACTATCCATACCATCTATATGACTGGCGGTCGACCACTGTACGATTTAAAAAAAGTTTCCTTCCTCACACAACTTGTGGAATCGACTACCACCAGAGATTTTTCCGGACCGATACGACTTAGGGACCTTCAAGAAAAGAGCCTACACTTTTTTAAAAGGCCGGCAACGCATCTGAAATTACCCTGGTGTTGCAGTTGTTCGTGGGCGGCGGTAGTCACTTACCATCAGGTAAGCATCCCCATTTGCCCCCTCTATAAAAAAAACCTAGACGAACTTCTAGGCGGAAAATATATACCAGATGGTAGGACTATTTTCTAGTGAAGTACTGGTATCTAAGCGAATTGTGGGGCGGCCTACCACTAAGTCTCTGGTTTCTGATGATGTTAATGCTGGCCGCCTTTTTGGCTTTTACAGCTTCACCAGTCTCAAGGCGGGTGGCCTGTAAGGGCGCGAGGACGACCTAGTAAGACGTGCTTGTTTTCTGGCCCTCTTTGGAGGTGGCTTGATTCCAGCTGTGTACTTGTAGTGATGATGGTGATGAATATAGTTCTAATTTTTTGATAATAGTGATATTACTTACCATACTTACTTCCAATGTCCAATGTGCCTAAATAGGAAAAGTTTGCAAACCTTTGTCAGTGACAAAAAACAACTGTCGCTATTAAAAAATGTTTAGGTTTTATTCAGTAGCATGCGGTACTCACCAGATGATGATGAAGAAGGTGTAAAGTGAAAATTAATGTAGTAATTAACTCCAATTATTTGTTAATTGGCAGGAGTGAGCCGCGACTAATAAGCTTTCAAAAGGAGGGTTCAGTGGGGCTGCGTCTTTGCGGCGGTAATCGATCCGGGGTCTTCGTGTCCGGGGTCCAGCCGACGAGCCCCGCTGCACTGCAGGGGCTACAGCCTGCCGATAAAATACTTAAAGTTAGTATGTGTAGTTTTTGTATGTATTTAATGTTGCTCGATAAAAGGAAGAATTAATGTGTCATTTTTATGAATTGTTTTAATCAGTCTAGTTGTTAATCCATAAAAAACTTTCGAATAGGCACTAAATCGAAAGTTTTTTTAAATTGTTTTAGATTTTTTTTTCTACATAGTAAATAACAACCTTATATGAGTACATAACTTAAAACAAAAAACATAATAAACTAAGCATGATATTACTCTGTGTTGTTCCAAAAAGTGACCTATCCAGAAGTTTGAGGGGCCAGAAGACTGTTATAAAACTATTTTTTTTTAAATGTGAGTGTTAATTTTTTGTCAGGTAAACGACATGGAAATGAAAGGAGTGACACGGGAAGAAGCGGTGCTATTCCTACTAAGCCTACAGGAACGGATCGACCTCATTGTGCAGCATTCACCGGAAGAATATAACGCCGTGGCCAGTGGACAAACGCGTAAGTTAAATTGAACAGGAACGCGTGAAATCAGAATGTAGATATAAGAAAATGTATCTTTATCTGTTCCTTGTATAGATAACTTGATTTTTCTTCTTATTTTTTGCATTACTTCTTCAACAGCCCGTAAAAGTCTACTGCTGAACATGTGCCATCCTGTCTCGTCCGGTTATTAAATAAATTATTATAGTTTGCCAACGCCAATCACCACGCTTGGCGGTTCGATTGGCGATCGTAGACCAGACGTCTTGAAACTTACGCTGTTCTCTACCATTGGTTTGTTTTTACGTCTGGCGATAAGCCAGAACCAATAAACAAACTGGATTGTTGGACTTGCATATATCGGGAACCATGAGATCTTTTCAACGTTTCGTTTATTGGTCGTTTCTTATGACACTCACGGGGCTGATGGAATGATCTTGCGTCATTATCACACGGCATTATTAGGCATATTAAATTACAATCCGTCATGGCCATGATAGATGCTAGTGCTTATAAATTTTGTATGATTGATATCCTTCGCCAAGAAATTTCGATAAAAACGATCTTAGAAAGTCAGGCCATAACTAGGAGACTTCTTCAGAATTATTAGTTATATATTTTTCATTTTCACGTGTAACAACACTTCTAATAATTTTTAATTCATCTGCAGAAACGTGTGCGTACAAGTGTGTACAAGTGCGTACGTATGCGTATTCAGCTACGTGCAATTAATATAATTTGCTCTACCGTAAATCTACCACTAATAGATGCATTAAATTTGTATTTAATAAGAATCGTAATAACTTTAAAGTTTAATTTTGGTTTATATAGATAGTATAATCATCATCATTACAGCCCTTCACAAGTCCACTGCTGAACATAGGCCTCCTTCAAGGAATATCACAAAGCACGGTCCGGAGCCACCTGCATCCATCGACTTCCTGCATGTCTTACCAGGTCGTAGGGGGGAGGGGGGGGGGGGTCGAGCTATATGACCGGCCCATTGCCACTTCAGCTTACTAATCCGTTGGGCTATGTCGGTAGTATAATTGTATTTAATTTAATGACGCCAATTACGGCATAACTTGTTAGTTCCATATTGTTGAACATCCTGTACCATGTTATTAAGCAAATAAATTTTCTATCTATCTAAAGTCTAAATAAAGACTTAGCAAATCAAGGTCGGTGAATGAAGCTTACATTTACGTGCCTGCATGCTTATATAAGTTTGTTGGTTCACAGCGGGCGACTCATTTCACATAAAGACACACTTCCACTACACGGAGCCGCGCGACGGCGAGATGTCGTTCCGCAGCGGCGACGTGTTCCACGTCGTCGACACGCTGCACAACGGCACGGTCGGCGCCTGGCAGGTCTACAGGATAGGTACGCACAACATGTGACAGCATTGAATACAAATGGTAAAAAATTTTGTACAGCCGACTTCAATATAAATTATTAAGGATAACTCAAACACTACTGGTCAGACCTTGATCAAATTTATAAGGGGCCACCTGGGAAGTGTACCGCTTGAAACAAAAAAAGAATTTACCAAATAGGTTCAGTCGTCTTCGAGTAATCGGTGAACATACATAAGAAAATAAGATTCCGACGAGTTGAGAATCTCTTCCTTTTTGAAGTCGGTTGAAAACAAAGTTACTGATTCTATCGCATTTAATATTACTTATTTTTAATTCCCGACGTTTCGGAAGTGTAGTGTTCGCGTAAATGTAAGCAATCAACGTGTTTTGGCTTCTGTTTAACAGTCTTACCTACAGAATATTTGCTTTTTATAGTAGGGTGACAAATATACAAAGGTAATCCCATTTATTACAGTGTTTTATACGGTAAAATTGAAGAGCCATGGTAATTCAGGTACTTGCAGCAAATTTTACAGTACGCTAGCAACCTGGGTTCGATTCCTGCCGACACCAATGAATTTTTTAGCGTATGCGAAATTAAAAAAAAATATTTCCAAGATATTTGTAGTCCGCTAACACTCACTAGGACAGCCCGGTGGCTTAAAACCCATACAGGTGCTTTCAAAGAAGGCCTGTGCCTAGCCGTGGGACGTATATAGGCTAAAACTTTACTTTCACTTGTATAGGTAAAGAAAATTTGAGAGCTGAACACTTCTTGAAAAGGCCTAGGCCAAACCGTGGTCTTTAAAAAAATGTTAAATATAAGAATAGACTTTGCTTTGTGTCTGCAAGAGGGGTATTTTCAAAATTGATTAGGACTAATGCTGATGATAATGATGATTATATTTTAACTGTATTTTCGATGATGCTAGGTCGCAGCAATCAAGAAGTGCAAAAGGGCATAATACCTAACAAAGCGCGAGCCGAGGAGCTCGCAACGGCGCAGTTCAACGCCACCAAGAAGGAGATGTCTGGCAACGATACCAAGCACTACTTCTTTCGTCGACGTCGTTCTACACATCGGCGGACCAAAAGTCTAGGAAAGGTGAGCAATTATCCATACATTTTTTTTCACTCCATATTCGTACTATTTAATTTCATCGAATGTCAGAGTTAACGTTTATTTGATTCACTACATTTTTATTGCAACGGTTATGTTTATTAAATGGAGATGTTAAGTTTTCTAAATCGTTTATGTAAGTACTATAATATATCCTTAAAAAAAACGTTACCCCTACACCAGTATTTTCTCCTGTGTCGTGGAGGCAGTTTACAAACATAAATTGCACGAGGACAAACATCCAGACCCGTAACAATTAATTGTAGGCCATACAAATACTTGCTCCGTGCGGGATTCGAACCCGCGGCCCCCAGCGCAACAACTCATTGCTAAGTCACTGCGTCACGGAGTCGTGAAATTCATCTATATAAATAAATAAAATTGAAGTGTCTGTTTTTAATGTTAAAATAACAACTTTTTACTAAATGCATATGAAAGTATGTACGGTACAAAAAACAATTTTTAAAATTTTTGTCTGTCTGTCTATTTGTTCCGGTTAATCTCCGAAACGGCTGAACTGATTTTGATGAGACTTTCACTGGCAGATAGCAGATGTTATAAAGAGTAACTTAGGATACTTTAATTTAAAAAAAAGAATCACATAAACGTTAACTCTGATATTCGATGAAATGTTGTTGTTTAGGCCCAAACATGGGCATTTGAAACGCCATCCAATCGCGTTTGACTAATCGCATCGCCCGATGGTATGAGGTGACGTGCGCGCCGCCGGGGGGGGGGGGGGGGGGGCAGCGGTATACCGCTTCCCGGCGTTCGGCCTCGTGGGCGAGAGTCAGTAGCTTGACAGCAGCGGCGCTGTCGATTAGCGAATTTTTGTGACCGCTACATCGGTTTCGCGCGACCCGTTTTTTGGGTTTTGGGGTCTAGAATTTGAGTATTTGTGCGCGTTTAATTTGCTATTGAATTTGGCGTTTCGTGCAGACCGCCTCGAATTAGTTTGTCTAAGTTGTACGGTCTTGACAAGAGGCTTGTATTGAATTTTACTGATTTAAAGTAATTTCGCTTGAAAGTAATTACGTCAATTGTATAGTGATTGGATGTGGAAGTGCATTTTGCAATATTTAACTTGCTTGTGTGATGTGGAACCTTGCGCGCACGCCGAGTAGAGATACGGTCTGGAATTTGAAGCTCGCATTCCATTTCGAGAGCGTGGCCCGGTTAATTGTTTTTGGAAGTTAAAGTTGATTTGTGACGTCGCGTTAAGTGCCTTTTGTGTGTTGACTATGTAGTTAGTTTGTGTGTCAGCTAGGCGGATTTTGAGTCCTAATGCGGGCGTAGTATTTAATATCGTACGAAGGAATTTTGTTTGTTGTTTGTAACGCGGAACTTTGTGACCCTAGAGAAGGTCGTATTCGGTTCTAGAAATAATTTGTTGCTGAGTGAAAACGGAAGTGAAATTTGATCCACCATTCATTAGTCGTGCCGCGTGTTACGTTTTTGATTACGATTAACGGGGATTTAGTTGAGTTTGAAGTTAGTTAAATGTACGAGTACAATAAAGTTACACTTACCATTAGGTGTACTGTGCGTTCGTTTGTTACGCCCATTCTATACAATAAAATATATAAAACGTATGCACAGAGCGCCTTCAGACGCGATAATTTTTCTGACGGACTTTTATAACATATAGCTGGCCTTAAGAGGCTGTTAAAGTCTATAACTAAAGAAATAAATCTCAACTTCTAAAGGCACCTAAGGGGACAAAATAATTTGAGATTTATATTAACATCTGAGCATTTGTTCCGTAGACACAAAATCCGGTCAAGGTGCCGCCAAACTCCTAAAGAGTGTTGTATTATTTGTGGTTGTTGATGGGTGACGGGTGTGTGGTCCGCAGGAGCACTGGGACGAGGTGGTGCTGTCGGACAGCATCAGCAAGTTCCCGGCGTACGAGCGGGTGGCGCTGCGCGCGGCGGGCTTCGTGCGCCCCGTCATCGTGCTGGGCGCCGCCGCCGACCTGGCGCGCGACCGCCTGCTGGCCGACCACCCCGACTGCTTCGCCACGCCTAGTCAGTCGCACTCTCCTTCTCTCTCCTTCTCCTTCTCGCTCTCTCTCGTACGAGCGCGTGGTTGGTATAGCGGTAGTAAACGCGACGGCTGTTCATGAGGCCTCGGGTTCGAATCTCGACTCGGGCCAAAATTAGTTATTGGGTTTTTCTGTCAAGAAATTTTCAGCAGCTACCTAGAGTCAGGAAATTGGCGGTGTTTCACCCCCATGCCTCGGAAAGCACATAAAGGCTGTGTGCCATAGGTACTGCACCTGAGCTCTCTTTGGGCCTACATAGATTGTGCTTGACCTTTGCTTGCGCACTCGCGAAATCCCACACTCTCGCGCACAGGGCCCTATAATCCTGTGTGATGCATAAAATCACTCAACTCGATCTGGAGGACATTGTTTTTTTATCTCATTGTTACTTACAGCCTGCCAGAAGTCCACTGCTGAACATAGACCTCGCACCTCGCAAGAAACGACTTTGGGAAATTGCAGAGAAATCATACGGCTTCCATTAGATAACGGTATAAATATCTCGTTTACGTAAAATGTCCAGACCGGCGACTGAAAGCAACATCACCCGTTACAGGGGTAGGAAAGTCCTCAATATCTTGCTTTTACGTTAATACTAGCGCCATCTCATAGTCATAAAAAGTAACATTTTCCCGAATATTTTTATATATTTTATTTAAAAGATGGCACTACTGCTGGTATTTATTATTTACATCGAAGAGGGAACGGGATGAGTCGCTCGCGTCCGTATGCTTTTTTTTGTTTTTTTTTTTCTTTTAAAAAAAAAACGTTACCCCCACACTAGGATTTTCTCCTGTATCGTGGAGGCAGTTTAAAAACACAAATTGCACAAGGACAAACATCCAGACCCGGAACAATTATTTGTAGGCCATACAAATACTTGTTCCGTGCGGGATTCGAACCCGCGCCCCCCAGCACAGCAACTCATTGCTAAGCCACTGCGCCACGGAGCTGTCAAGCTTTGACCACCTAATCCTAGGCCCACCCTACACGTGTCCCCCGGGTGGTGCTAAACAAGCGACAAAGCCGAAAGATCAGACTCGGCTCCTCGCCGTGTGGTAGCGGAGTAAAAAATACCACCACCTACTTTCGCACCATGAAGCAAAAAATTTACGAAATGGCCCCGAGCCCCTTTAATGGGGCAGGGGTGCGAAGAATCTCCGGGAGGAAAACCGGCGACGAGGTTCGCTACCCGTCACGTTCTGTCCCCCGGAGGGGCGAAAAGTGGATTGCGGAAGCCGGTCTGGCTACATTGAATGTATGTGGAGGAATGAATGATAAGATGGATGAAGTTTGCGATATGATGTATGATAGAGGAATAGACGTGTTATGTATAAATGAGACGAAACGGAAGGGAAAGGATGCCACTACACATGGCATGTATACTGCGTAATGGTCTGGTGTAGACGGGACCGAGCGGGCATGCCAGGAAGTCGGTATCATCCTTTCAGAAAGAATGGGTCATTGTGTGAAAGAGTATGAACGTGTAAGCCCAAGACTGCTATGGATACGAATGAAAGTGTGCTTAAAGAAGTTGTTTGTATTAGGGGTCTACGCCCCAGACATGTCTAAGCCCACTTATATCCGAGAGCAGTTTTGGGAGTTGGTAAGGATGGTACTAATGAAATGCAAGGTTAATGAAAATATTATGATATTAGGAAATTTTAATGGATGGTGAGGAGGCTTGTTTATGAAAGGACATTGGGAACGTTTGGTGATGAAAGTATACATGAGAATGGTGAAAGCCTCCTCACCGTATGTGTGGAAAAGAATCTTTTTGTGACGAACACTTTCTTTCGTCATAAGAAGATTCACACGTATACATGGGAAAGAGTTGATAATAGAAGTATTATTGATTTCATAATTGTTGATGAAAGAATGAGGAGCGCGGTGGTAGGGCGTGGTGGTATGGTAGGGTTTACCGGGGCTCTAACGTAGGGACGGACCATTACTTGGTCTTATGCCGAATTAATGGTCTTTCTGTGTCTACCACTGCGTTACAGCGTATAGGAACAGAGAGGTTATAAGATGAAGGTGTGAAAGAGAAGTTCAAATGTAGATTGAGAGAAAATATAAGTGGTATAGCTGAATTGTGTACGAATGATTTAGACTTAGAGACTGTGTGGTATAATGTCAAAAAAGGTTTAGTGGATGCAGCTACCGAAGTATGTGGTGTAAGTAAGAGAACGAATGAAAGGAAAAATAACACGTTATGGTGGGATGATGAAGTACGGATGGAAGTTGAAACAAAGAAGAAAGCATGGCTAGATTTACTAGCAACCAAGGCTAGTTTTCTTTTTTTTATACGATAAGGTGACAAACGAGCACACAGTCCACCTGATGGTAAGTGGTTGCTGCGGCCCATAGACATCTACATCTATCCTCTATTACAAATCAAAATGTAGATGCGTTGTCACCCGTAAGGACTAAGATGGAATGCCTCATTTCCAGTAAAAAGGGCCTCCGGCCACCTGCACTCACCAAGCGAAACGCAGAGGTAAACCTCTACTTCACGCTGGTTTTCTGTGAGGTCGTGGTACCACCCCGGTTCAAGCCGGCCCATCCGTGCGACAGCAAAATCTGCCGCGTGGCTCTACCACTGTTAAAAAGTTAGTTGCTAGTAATTCTAGCAGTATGAATGATGATATTGAAAGGAAAGAGGCAGTCTTTAGACATCTAAATAAGAGAGTAAAAGAAGTAGTTGAAAGGAAAAAGAAAGAAAGAACGGATAAGAATGATAGAAGAATATCGGATAACTTCCAGGCAAACATTAAAATATTCTGGAAACTCGTAAGAACTGCCAGGGGACATTCAAAACAGCCTAGAATGAATGCAATACGAGACCAGAATGGCTGTATTCTGAATGACGAAGTTTTGAGTTTAAGAAGATGGAAGGAATACTTTGAAAGCGTGTTTATGAGTGATGAGACGTTTGAATTAAATGAAATAGAAATTCCGAAAGAAGAGGAAATAGATAGAGATATAAGTATAGATGAAATAATGAAAGCAATGAAAAGTATGAAAGCAGGTAAGGCAGCCGGTTATGATAGAGTATCTCTCGAAATGCTAAGGGCTGGAGAAGGAGTGGTGGCAGACCTGCTGTACACCTTGTTTAATTTATGTTGGAAACTTAAGCGGGTACCGGGAGACTGGTGCAAAGCCGTAATAATCCCAATATATAAGGGAAAAGGATCACAGCAGGACTGTAAAAACTACCGTGGTATCAGCCTTCTTAGCATTGTGGGAAAACTGTATGCTAAGGTACTAATTGAAAGAGTTATGAGAGAAACTGATGGAAAAATTTGGGATGTGCAAGCGGGATTTAGAAAGGGAATGGGATGTACGGATCAGGTCTTTTCCATGCGTATGATCGCGGTGAAGTTTTTGGCCAAAAACCAAAAAGTTTTTTGTGCGTTCATAGACTTGGAGAAGGCTTATGACAGAGTGGATAGGGATGTGTTATGGCAAACACTGAACTCATTTGGGTTGAGCTCTGGGTTTATACAGGCATTGAAGTCTCTGTATAGGGACTCTAGTGCTTGTGTCAGGATCAACGGGGCCTGCTCGGACTGGTTTGGTATCCATAAATGTGTCAGACAGGGCTGTGTGGGTTCCCCGTGGCTGTTCAACCTATTTATGGACAGTTGTTTGGAAAATTTGAAAGTAGAAGAATGCGGTTTAAGAATGGGTGAGTTAACCGTCAAATGCCTTTTGTACGCCGATGATCAAGTCATACTTGCGTCGTCGGCGGCCGAGTTGCAAATGAAGGTTACATTAATTAATAGGACATTAAAAGAAAAGGGAATGAAAGTGAACGCAAGTAAGACGAAAGTTATGGTTTTTGAAAGAGAAGAAAGTAAAACGTTATGTGAAATAAGAATAGAAGGGGAGTTAGTCGAGCAAGTAGATGAGTTTGTGTATTTGGGATGTGTGTTTAGCAGGGATAGTAGATATGATAAGGATATAGAACGACGAGTGAATGCAGGAAATAGAGTGAATGGGGCTCTACACCCTATTGTGAAAAGTCAGAATGTGTCAAAAAAGGCACGTATGGCAATTCACAATGCTGTGTTAGTACCTACTTTAATGTATGGTAGTGAAAGTTGGGTGTGGCAGAAGAAGCACGAGAGTAGAATAAATGCTGTAGAAATGCGGTCATTAAGGAGTATGTCAGGGATGAATCTGAATGACAGAGTGAGAAATTGTTTGATAAGAGAAGAGTGTGGTTTGCAAGATGATGTTGTAACCAGGATTAAGAAAGAAATGCTTCGTTGGTTTGTCATGTAGAAAGAATGAGGAATTGATTGATTGAGGAAAGAGTGACAAAGCAAATTTATGTTGCAGAGGTGAACGGCAGAGTCGGGAAGGGTCGCCCTAGGCGAAAGTTTATCGACCAAATTGGCGATATATTGAAAATGGGCCAAATCAAGAGTACCTTTAACCGACGAGCGTGTATGCGTAGGTATATAGATGTGGAGGAAGCGAGAGAGGTGTGTCAGGATAGTGCCAAATGGAAGTCCATAGTCTCTGCCTACCCCTCTGGGTTACAGGCGTGAGTGTATGTGTATATATGTATCGAAGCCTAAATTATGCTATCAAAGTTTTGAAATACTGCGGTATATATATGGAATAATTCTAACAGAATAAACGAAGCAATTCATACCATGGTCATCTAAAACAAACGAAATTATGAGTTATTTAGAACAAATTAGTTAGCAATTAAATACATTCCCTTTTAATTTTATTTAAATATGTACGAAATAATACTGAAACTACTAGATAGCGCCCTCTACTGTGTTTTTCACATCAGCCTATCACAATTCTCTGATAAACATAAGCCTCCTCCATTAATTCCCACAAAGTAGGATCTTGAACGTGCATGTTTTATTAGGTAGTTACTCCCTAATAAAATATGCACGTAGTCACTAGAGGAGGCCCAACGCTGTACTTGTCAGAGCGAAGCTGCCACTTAAAAACTTTTCTTCCTCATCAGTTGTAGGTTCTTCAAGAACATTGCCAATACATACAATACATGAATTCAATTACGGTTTTACTCAATTTAGTTGGTAGTACTTATACGCGCACTGTATAAGTACTGCTGCTAACCTTGTATTGTTTTTGTATTTACAGAAATGGATAGCGCATTAGAAGACAGTAAAACAAAATCGTCGGGCATCATTAGGCTCTCAAGCATCAGGAGCATAATGGAGCGAGGGAAGCACGCACTACTCGACATAACACCCAATGCGGTGGATCGACTAAACTATGCTCAGTTTTACCCCATCGTGATATTCTTGAAGGCCGACAATAAGCACATAATCAAGCAGTTGAGAGCCGGGTTGCCTAAGTAAGTTTTTTTATTTACAATATTTCAGAGACAAATAAGCTAACAGTACACCTGTTGGAAATTGGTTGCTGCAGCCCATAGATGCTTGTAACCAACTTCATATAAAGACGACCACAGATGCGGTGTAACAATCCTCTGGGGCAAAAGATAAAATATTCATATCTTTAATATTATTGTCATAAAAATCGCTAGTAAAACTTACACATCTCTCTTAATATCTTTTAGAAATATAACGCGTAATTGAAACTTTTTCAAATTTGAAAAGGAGCGTACTGGCCTAAAATGCTCAGAATGTACATTTGAGTTTTCTATTTAACAACGGACCCTGTAAGTCAGTATAGTTTACACGTGATAGAGCCATGCTGCAGCTATATTATGGTTGTAGCACAAATGGGTCCGCTCGACCTGACGGTCTGTATGCTCGTTTGCCACCCTTATTCTATATAAAAAAAGTTAAACAATGGCGTAATTAGAAAAACCTTTACTGATAATGTGAGTGTACGTTAGTAAACTTTTTGTTTTGCATATGTTGAGAAAAAATCACCTTCAAACCAATTTCACAGATTTCTATGGAGAATTAGAGAGGTTTTAATCGTTACGCTTCTCTCTACGATCGAAACATCTGACACTGCGTCACTGCAGAGATGAGAGATGTTTCGTATCTTAGACGCTGGTGCCTACGCCGTTCTGGGTATTTTTAGTGAGTAAACGAGATGATTACTAGATAATTCGATTGCCTCGTTGATCTAGTGCTACTGCTGATCATAATAATAAGGTTGGGTCATAAAAATCCGTTATTGAGTTTTTCCATCAATAAATTTTCAGTATCTGCCCGGAGTTAGGAAGTTGGCGGAATCTCATCCCCAAGCCTTGGAAAGCACGTAAAGCCGTTGGTTCTGCATCTGATCTCTCTCCGGTCATGTCGGTTTACCGTCCCATCAGACTATGAGAGTGAGGGAATAGAGAGTGCACCTGTGCTCAAGCAAACACTTGGGTGCTATAATCCTGTTCTGCGCAGGTGGCTAGTCTCCGTTGAAGCTGGCCGCCGTGATCGAAATGCGGTCTGGAGGACATAAATTAAGTTATTTCGCCATATAACGTAAGCCATAATGTCTTCTGGTATTTCCCAAAGTCGCCACTGGAGACACCCACAAAAAGAAATGGGATGGTGGATTCCTTTACACCGCCATCACACGTCTCTAATCTAAAGCGATCTCTGAACTTATGTATTCACGAATTTGCCAATAGTCACTTAATGTAAAGACGATAGTGCGGTAGACTAAATTGCAATCATATTCATTTTATTTTTACTTGTATTACACCCAGATCGGCGCACAAATCTTCGAAGAAACTCCTAGAACAATGCCAGCATATGGAGCGCGTGTGGGGCCACGTGTTTACACACACCATTACGCTCAGCGAGGCCAACCTGAATACCTGGTTCAGTAAGCTTGTCGAACTCATACAGAGGACCGATCAGCAGAAGTTCTGGGTGTCAGAAACCAAGGTGAGGATTAACTTATGCATCACAAGCCCTACCGAAATCTTCTCACAATCACCACTTGTACCGACTTTGTATAATATTTTCTCCAAAGAAAATTTATTGCAGTTTCATAATTTGGTATTTATGGTAAAAGAAAAGAAAATAACATCATCAAATAATAAAGTGAAATAAGTAGAGGATTACCTGTAATTACATTGGCTGATTTGAAAAATCGCTAGATAAATAAATATACTTATCGCTTTTGTTTTCAAGGTGTGACACACACATTTACATTAAACTTTTTCACATTTCTGTTGATATTTGTAGTATTTGTCATGCATACATATTATGTGATTACCCTAAGGTTCATCAACACAGATGTGAATAAGTTTTGTTTTCTATGTTCATATTAGAATATTAAAATGTAGTCTTAATTAAGGATTAGTTCAACGTTTTCAACGGATGCTTTGATGCAGTTATTACTTATTAACTAGTTATTATCAAGTTAAAAATAATTATAATCATTTCAAACTAGATTTGAAATACATTTGTCTATTATATAACACGCGAACACATAATGCAAACGAAAACAATTTCTATTATTGATTTTATTGCTTATTATTTGTAGTTATATTGATAAAACTTTATTATATAATATTTGACTATCTTTAAAATATATATTATTTGTTAATTCCAAATTAATGTTTATACGTCCTTTTGGATTACTGGCTATTTAATATTATGTACTGGTATTCACAATAATTCCACGGCACATATACACACTTTGCACAACTTAAGGTTAGGTGCACATTATTATACACAAGCTTAATTTTATCTATCTCGTCTGTTCATGGGTCAATGGAACTAATATAATTTCTGTTTCAATTTATTGTATTCATGTTGACATTAATCTATCCGCGGCAGTAAAACATCATGCTTCGAGAAGGTTGCTTGATGAGGGCAGTTTGGTGCATTTGGTAAACTGTATGTGTATTTGGGTAGCCATTACTCACTTTATCAACTAAGGAATGTAAAGGAATTAATACCATCTTTCATATTGTTAAGTCGCGTAGGATGTTTTATTAACCTATTTCTTTCTGTTCTGTCTTGCGGCGGTGTAGCACGTTGAAATGGTGTCGGATATATACTTCCCAATCCCCCCATCTCCTTACCCAGCCTTTTACCCAATCTCCCCTCCCATCAACTACTACGGCCGATCCCAATCCCCTCAAAGAACGATCCGTTCGCCACAAAACATGCCTTCATCTAACTCTAACATAACAAGCATTAAACGTCACGATCAAGTGTATGACGCCAACAGAAATCATGTGGTCCCATACTACTACTCCGAAACTCTAACCCCATGCATGCCTAACAATGTGTACAGCGTTCCTAACCCTTACCTTAGCAACAGAAATAGGCATACATTTGCTAGCTATCCATATGACGAGAGACAGAAGTACTATCAAAGAATGAAGACTGCTAGGATGAATAACTCCGTTAATATTAGCCCTGAGGTCGCTTATGGTCAAACAAAAAACAATTTACCAAAACCTCAGCCGTTCAGACCGTACAGCGTTCTAGAAAATTCTTTAAAATTACCTGTAACTAATTCTCAGAGAGCGACCTCTGTCATGCCAGTAACGGAACAATTCCGACCAGCGTCTGTATTCTTTCAAAATGAACCGGAAAAGACCGTCGAGGCACCAGGGTGGAAAGCGCATCTCAGAAGAGATGCGCCAATACCTGTCAAAGGTTTGGAGAAACCTTTAAAGCCGATATGCAAAATACCAAATTGCAATTGTAATGAAAAACCGATTGTCAATCAAACTAGGTTCAGCGAATCACGAACCTTGCCATCAGTTTCTCTACGATCTTTGCACAGACAAAAAAACTTATCTCTTCCTTCACTTAAGTTGGATGAGTTTGATAAAGATGAAAAAGTTGATACAACCGAGGCTGAAAGGGATGTCCCTAGTGTTCTAAGTAAACCTATTTCTGAGCAACATTTGGGGTATGTTTAGGAACGCTTGTGTGTTGTCAGTAGTGAAAAGTTACCAAAAAAAGCTTATTACCAAACTTAAACGTAAAATATTTCTTGCGTGTTTTTATTTTCTTTTTAGTCTTGCATGCTATTTATATATTATATTAAGGTAAACATTATATGTTCTTTATATGTATTGCTTGCAGTTAGCTTTTATATTAGATTCTTTTGTTATTGCATGAAAATAAAGTAGATTACATATGATTGTAAATATTTTATGTTGCTGGCCAAAAATACTCAATAATTTATACCAAAGATGTGTGTTGATTCGTTTTAAACATTACCACAATTTACCAGTGTTAAATACCACGAATGATCAGAAAATTAACATTCAAACACGAATTCTTTTTGTTACTTTTATTATTTTTTATCATAGTTTTTTCGCTTATGTTTGAATGTTGGTACAAAGTGTGATTAAACCTTAAAAACATTAATCATTCACGAACGCTACAGACACGATTTTAGTTTTCTTTAACGTGTTTTTTGCAATCATTCATTTGTCTTGTCTTGTCACCCCATTCCATAAACCTACCCTATCGACGGACGCCGCTGATCGAAAATGGAACGAAACGCTCGTGCACAAAATGGCCGAAATATTTAAAATGACAATGGCGGGAAACAGAGGCCGGAGCCGTTATCGGACGACTTTTTGTTCTCAATGTCGTCTAGTACAGAGAACAGATTATCTTACGCATCTAGTCCTGAGAGTGATTTGGAAGTAAGTCCGCCGCCTGCGCCTAGACTAGTCAAGTCTTCATCAGATCCATCGATTGCGACCACGCAAGACAACATGGACCGGGATGACGACATTAATCACATGGCCGATGCTGTTCCTCCGCCTTATACGGTTGGTATTACTCATTTTTCCTTTAACTTTATAATATAATTTATACGATCATGTTTGACACCATACTACACTCACAAGCTTTTTTAAGTCATTGCAACATTATTATAGCAATTGAATCAATCGCTTCTGTGTAATTGGTGATGAACAAAATGCAATGTATCCGTCTAAAATTCATGTTTTTTGTTTATGTTCTTTCCCAAAGATTATTATTATATTAACAGTGTTATAATAAGTTACACATTACATAGATTGTTAACTATTGATAAGACAAAAAAAACGAACTTCAAATTTTGTTTTAATCATACAGCAGGGTGGCTACGGAGACAGCAAATATGGCTTTTCAGCGAATGGGAATGGCACATCTAACAACGGCATGGGACATAATAATCAGGGCGGTCACAATATGGGACCCAATTCTAACGAGGCACCGCCCTATCAGTGTAATCCCATGACACATTCGCCACCGCATTCGCCACTTTATGGAACCGGTAACTAATTATTATTATTATAATAGTATTGTTACATTGACTTCGAAATACTTTCAATATAATTCTGACTTTTTATTGATTCTGATGTATAAAAGAACTTATCTATCATTACATTTAAACAAAGTTAACCAAGGTAAACATAACGCAACTTGCGTCGATCGTAAAATCTTTTGAAGTTATACTTCTTTTGGGGTGTTTGGGAAACATGATGAGAGTGAATTTTTACGATGCGCGCGCACACCGACGGCTAAAAATGACACCATGAAGTTGTTACGATGCGCGCGCACACTGTGACCTAAAAGCGACAACTTTAGTGAATAATTGTCTCTCATGTTTTTTGTTTTGTTAGGGTAAAGAAGTATAACTTCCTACGTGCGTACATAAGTACACACACACTTTTTTATTTTACTTTTATTTTTAATCGATGAGTACATGAACACGTATAATTACGCCTCTTTCCTGTAGGGGTAGGCAGAGACCACTTCTTTCCACTTGCTACGATCCTTACATACTTGTTTCGCTTCCTCCACTTTCATTATTCTCTTCATACATGCTCTACGGTTTAGGGTGCTCTTGACCTGGCCTTTTTTCAAGACGTCCCTGATTTGGTCTTGAAAAGTCCGCCTAGGTCTACCCCTTCCAGCACTTTCATTCACACTCGCCTTATACACTTTTTTCGTCAATCGTTCTTCATTCATTCTCTCTTGACATGGCCAAACCATCTCAGCATACCTTTCTCAATTTTGTCACTACATCTTCTTTCAGACAGATTGAGTATGTATGCGTAAATATATGGATGTGAAAGAAACTAGAGAGGTGTGTTAGGATCGCGCCAAATGGAAGTCCGTAGTCTCTGTCTACTTCTTTGAGTAACATGCGTGAGAGTTTATGGTTATGTGTTATGTATAAATGTTTACTTTATATGGCAATATTACGGCCCTGCGGGGTTAGCCGAATTGGCTTTGTATAACCTTAATGATAATAGAAAATTATAAAAATTAATAGGGCTTAACCTTGACTTGACATGTGATTTAACGTTAACGTCATTCATTCATTTATTACAGCCTATTAAAGTCCACTGCTGTATATATAGGACGTCCTTATAGATAGGGTGGATATCTGCAATAGTTACCAAACTCGGCAGGCACACCCGCTGTTTTGTTATTATTTTGAAATGTCTTTGTTTCTTTTTCTCTCGGTACGACAATCTTGTGCGCCTTGTGCCTTTGTAGCCTCTTACGACACACGCCGGGTGATACTATATCACCCCGTGGGTGTCGCGACTAGTGGATTATCTTACGCCTCCTCGTATTTTCTATAGTTTTCTATTGGCATCGATTGTAGAAAGTGATTGTTATTGTGTAGTGGCGGTGTAAGAATATCCACTACCCCATATCATCCCGTGGTGTTGTAAGAGGCGACAGATGGAAATAAATCAGGAGAGGTGCAGCAGCGTTTTCCTAATAACGACTAAAACTAAAAAATCTGCGGTTGCCAACCCGCTTGCCAAGTGTGGTAACTATGGCAGTTATCTCCCATATGAGAAATTCTATGGCGGAGGTCTATGTTCAGCAGTAGACTTTAATAGGCTGTAAGTGTAACTGTAACGGCAGAAAGTGAACTAGGCTAGTGGTGTTGGTATGGTGGAGTGATCTCCGAGGTTGGTAGCAGTGGGTAAGGTCGGGCGTGTGTTGCAGTGCCGGAGCTGCCGCCGCGCGGGCCGGCGGCGCGGCCGGCGGGCGGCGTGCTGCTGCCCGCGCCGCCGCCCGCGCGCCCGCCGCACGCGCTGCGCCACAACCCGCCCGTGAGTGCCCTCTATTTTCTTTCTTGGGTTATGGTCTCGTACGACCGTACTTTTGCTAGTGTCAAGTAATAAAAAAAATATCCTTTAAAATATTTTGTTTCAAAAACTTTTTCGCAATATACTGACTGATGCGTCACATTGAAAACTTCATGGGAGATTTTGACGACAGCAAAACCTAACGGATAGTCGATAATTTTATGGCGCTTAACGAACAAAAAACAACCATCTTTGTTTTGGTTTTAATGAACATCGGAGCGTTTGTTTCGTCGTTTCCACTAATATTTACACTTAATAGCACTAGTAATAAGTATTTAATACACAAAATCGCACTTTTACATATCAAAACCCATTTCGGTTGCTTGGTATTCAATAATAATAGTTTGCTGCAATTTTTTTATATATATGTACATATCTAGTCCAATACAGTTAACACACAACTATTCAAAGATACGGTAAAGACGGAAACTTAAATAAAATAAAGAGCTCAGTGCGCGTATTGCCACAAAAAAAAAACAAAGGACTGATATTCACCTACAAAATTAAGTTTCCGCTGATATTCGTTCAGTCGATCATTCACTGTCATTCAAATGCCAATTCATTTTTTGAACCAAATGCCGAATACGAACTATTTCACAAAACTAGAAAAACAGTCATAATCGATCAAGAAGCTAAGATGCCTATAAAAATTGATAGATAGAGATTTAAACCTTTTATTAATTTTGTATGTATGTTTTATGTATTATTCATACAAAAATAATTGAGTTTGCTGTAATATTTTATACTTATTTTTTTTATAGGATAGGGTGACAAACGAGCACAGTCCACCTGATGGTAAGTGGTTACTGTGACCCATAGACATCTATCCTCAATAAAGACTCAAGATGCAGATGCATTGTCACTCGCGAGGACTAAGATGGAATGCCTCTTTGCCAGTAAAAGGGGTCTCCGGTTCTCTACACTCACCATACGAAACACAGCAGCGTTAAGCTGCTATTTTACGCTGATTTTCTGTGAGAGCGTGGTCCTTCCCCGGTCGAGCGGGGAACCATTCGTGCTACAGCTATACTACTAATATAGCTGCAGCATGGCTCTACCACGTTTTAAAATATAATATACTTTAATTGATTTAATTTTTTTCATTGCGCATTAAATTCGTAATAACATTAGACTACATTTTTGTGGTATAAATTTTGTTTTACATATATTAAATTTTTTCTTAAGATTCGTCCAAGCGCACAAGAGCGTTTATTCGGTCCCCCCAACTCAACAACAAACTCTGGAGATGACACTGCGACGTACACCGCACGACCTACGAGCATGATAATTCAACAGACACAGGAACAAGGATCGTTGGATCGGCATCGACACGGCTCAAATCCGGTATGTTAATATGATGAAAAATAAATAAATAAAGAAAACGCTTTAAAACAATATCAAAATTAAAAATAATTTAGTTCTTTTATCACAATTTTTTTAAAACAACCTTCACACTAGGATTTTCTCCGGTATCGTGGGGTCAGTTTACAAACATAAATTCCACAAGGACACACATTTAGACCCGGAACGATTATTTGTAGCGCTGCAATTAAATTATTAGCCACTGCGCCACGAAACCGTCATTACCACCTTCGTATTATTATTGATAACCTACTATCTTTGGTATAATATATAGTGATTAAAGATTCGTTAGAACAAGATCAAAAAATGATAACAACTTTATAGAAAGTATAAAAACAACAATCTATAATTCTAGTAGTGGGTAAAGGTCGGTTAACTAATGGTACCACGCTCACAATACTGTACACACAATACAGTGTATTGCCAAAAAATGTATAATCCTACTAATATTATAAACGTGAAAGTTTTTGAGGATGTATGGATGAATGTTACTCTATGTTACTCTTTCACGCAAAAACAACTGAATCGATTATAATGAAACTTTACAATAATATAGCTCATATATCAGAATAACACTTAAGCTAAATATTAGTATAAATATAGTGTAAATTGGCCAAAATATAACGATAAAAATTAAATAAGTCTGAAAAAAAATCTTTCATCCGCAAGCTATTTTGGTGTGAGGTGCAAAAACTGTAATAGCTACACGAATATAATGTATGGTGGAATTTTTCCCCTAAATAATTCTATAAAAAGTCCGCGACAGTATATATCTATATTGTATGTGTAAGCCATTATTACCAAAATCATCATCATCAATACAGCCCTTCACAAGTCCACTGCTGAACATAGGCCTCTCCCAAGGAATGCCACAACGCACGGTCCCAAGCCACCTGCATCCATCGACTTCCTGCATATCTTACCAGTTCGTCACTCCATCTAGTGGGGGGACGCCCTACACTTCGCCTACCGGTACGAGGCCGCCACTCGAGAACCTTTTTTCCCCATCGGTTGTTGGTTCTTCGAGCTATATTGCCGGCCCACTGCCACTTCAGCTTACTTATCCGTTGGGCTATGTTGGTCACTCTGATTCTACTGCGGATATCCTCATTTCTAAATTTATCACGCAGAGAAACTCTTAGCATAGCACTCTCCATAGCTCGCTGAGCTACCATGAGTTTCCTCATCCGGCCAGCAGTGCAGGACCACGTCTCAGTTCCATATGTCATCACTGGCAGCACGCACTGCGTGTGCTGTCACAGTCTCGTTTTCAAGTTTTGAGGTATACCTGACGAGAAGATGTGCCGTAATTTCCCGAACGCTGCCCAACCGAGTTGAATCCGTCGATTGACCTCTCGGTGGAAGTTGGACTTACCTAATCGGACTATTTGTCCCAGGTCGTCAACAACTTCAAGCTTAGTGCTCCCAACAACTACCGGCATAGGTGTGTTGGGAGCATGTTCATCTTAAGACCTATCCGTTGGGAAACACTATTGAGGTCATTGAGCATAGTGCTTAGGTCCTCCAGCGATTCTGCCATAAGTACTATATCGTCGGCAAATCGAATGTGAGTGATGTACTCGCCATTGATGTTGATACCGTATCGTTTCCAGTCCAGAAGCTTGAAAACGTCTTCCAATGCAGCGGTGAAGAGTTTCGGGGATATGACGTCACCCTGTCTTACACCTCTCTGCAATTGGATAGGTTTCATACTCAGGTTCCGTACTCGGATAGCCATCGTAGCCCTACTGTACAAGCACTTCAACACTTCGATATACCCACAGTCAACTTGGCACCGCTGAAGGGACTGCAGCACCGCTGAAGGGAATGCAGCACCGCCCAAATTTCGACGGAATCAAAGGCTTTCTCATAGTCCACATATGCCAGATATAGTGGCAAATTGTACTCCTCGGACTTCTGTACAATTTGCCGAAGGGTATGTATGTGGTCTATGGTGCCTTTTCGGAAACCGGCTTAATCGGGAGGCTGGAAGTCGTCAAGTCTGCGTGCGAGACAATCGTAATAACTCTCGAAAACAGCACGTAGACGCGGCTCAGAAGGGAAATCGGTCTATAGTTCTTCAAGAGAGCGTTGTCGCCTTTCTTGAAGAACAAGACCACCGCACTTCTGCTCCACGCCTCTGGTGTAATGCCACCGTGGAGGACGGAATTAAAGAGCTTCTGAAGGACTTCAAGTACTGGTTTTCCACCCGATTTCAGAAGCTCCGCTGTAATTCAATCCTCGCCTGGGGCCATGCCGTTTTTAAGGTGCTGGGAGCCATTCTAATTTCGCTCAGACTGACGTCCGGGATATCATCGGAATAATGTCGGATAAGACTCGTTCTTTGGTCGTTACTCACACTTGCGTGTGGCTCCAACGATGATGTGTACAGCTGCCCATAGAACCTCTCAATCTCACTCAAAATCTCAGGTGTCCCGGAAACGACGCTGCCACACTCGGTCTTCAGCTTCTACAGTTGGCTCTTTCTGGCAGACAGATCTCTAGCAAAGACTTTGGAGCCCTAGTTCCGCTCGATCGCTTCTTCAATACGTGCAGTATTAAAGTTGCGTAAGTCCCGCCGCATGCATTTGGAGATCTGTCTGTTCAGTTGCGTGTATGCTGTCAAATATACTGAAGACTGCAGCTTCATATCCCGTCTAACAGCCATGAGATTAAGCGTGTGATCGGAGAGTTTTTGTGTTCTTCTGCGGCGGATCTTGCAAAACTTAGCTCCGACCGCATGGACAGTTTCCACGAGCTTGTCATTCATATCGCCCACCTAAGTACCAAAATAGTGACCCATAAATATAATAAAATTTGATTCTTTATTTCTAATGCACATTTTGCAGTACCAAAGGAATTATATCTAAATAAATACTTTAATCGCTTCTGATATTCAAAGTAGATAAAGTTTGGCTTTTAAACTACCTACGTAATTTGGTCAAATATTTTGTAAGTAACGATGATATAACGCCGGTCCGGCGCACGCAGTGCGTACTGCGGGCGAGGTGGAGAAAAACATCGCTCATCGCCGCTTGAGAAAATGTACCTCTTCACGCTTAAATTGCTGAACCGATTTAGATGAAATTTGGTATCGAGATAGTTCGAATCCCGGGGAAGAAAATAGGATAGCTTTAATCACGGAAATCACCCCTAAAGAGGGTGATGGAATTTACTATGAAAGTACGATTATTGATGTATCACCTTTGGTTTAAAGTATAATATCTACGCGGTCAAAAGCTAGTGTTATTGTAAAAAAATCGATAAACGATTATAAAATAAAAAAAACATACAAGAACAGTAGTTAATATATTTTATATTGTAACATCATTGGTCTTATTAATAATCGCAAGTTAACTCTTCTACGCAACATAAATCTCCATTGCTTGAATAATCTGATGATTCACTATCGGAATTTTCTACTCTTATTTATAAGGCTATCAGTGAAATTATCAACCGTTGGTTCGAGTTCAACGTATTTTTGCTCATTTTATCTCGTTTTTCTCCAAACGTTTCTAAACATGTCGAAAACTCAAGCGTAATAGACTCTGTTTCTGACGAATTTTCATGATTCGTATGCAGTTCGATGTCATGCCGTGCACTCTTCTACAGGCACTACACAAGCTCAATGTGTGAACGTATTGTACGTGCCAACTTTAGTTAACCGACATATTAAACTTTGCTAGTGAACAATGACCAAAACGCGATACTATTGGAGATTAGATTGCACCCTCACATTCGTATTCTTTTGTGTGGGGTGGTTAAGAAAAAGATACAGGAATATTTAAATGTATTTTAAGCTACCAGTGAAACAAGGGTCACACAGGGCCCTCACAGCTTTATAGTCAGTAATGGGTATTTAGATGAATATTTACGTGGTAGAGCCATGCTACAGCTATATTGTAGCTTGAATGGTTCGGCTCGTCCGGCTAAGGACCGCGCTCTCGAAGAATACCAGCGTAAAATTGCAGTTTAAAGCTGCTGTGTTTTGTATCGTAAGTACTCTATAACCGGAGACCCTTTTTATTGGAAATGAAGCATTCCATTTTAGTCCTCAAGGGTTTGGATTCTTAACAGAGGATAAAAATGTAGATGTCTATGGGCCATATAAAAAAAATTCCCCCATATCTTTCCAACTCGGAACAGACGACTAATCGAACGAATAATCGAAAAGTAAATGCAATTTCTTAACAGCAAAGTTCGTACGATGGTACGGGCGGGTACGATTACAGCGCGTCCAATACTGGGTCGTCACTGGGCTCGTGCCGCTTGCCGCCCAACGCGCCCGACGACCTCAAGGTGGCGCCGCCCGGGTGAGTACCGCGCGCCGCACTACTGAATATCAACGAAACTATTTTTAATATGTTATTTTTTGCCAGTGACAAATGTTTGCAAACTTTTTTTATTTAGGCACATTTAAACTAAGTATTGTAATGTCATTGTAAGTAAAACAGAGCAATATTCATCATTATCATCATATTACAAGTTTAAAAAAAAACGTTACCCCCATACTACGATTTTCTCCTATATCGTGGAGGCAGTTTACAAACATAGATTGCACGAGGACAAACATCCAGACCCGGAACAATTACTTGTAGGCCATACAAATACTTGTTCCGTGTGGGATTCGAACCCGCGGCTCCCAGCGCATCAACTTATTGCTAAGCCACTGCGCCACGGAGCCGTCAAGTTCACTGCTGAACATAGGTCTTCCCGAAGAAAAGCACAAAATACGGTCTTGAGCCACCTGCATCCATCGGCTTCCTGCATGTCTTACCAGATCGGCACTCTATACAGTTGAGGTCGTCCTACTTACAGGTACGAGGTTGCCACTCGAGAACCTTTCTTACCCATCAGTTGTCGGTTCTTCGAGTTATAATGCTGATCTATTGAACTATTCCATATTAGCAATAGAAAATTGATCAAATTTAATATTTAAACTTTATTGTAAAATTTTGGATGACGAAATTTAAAGGTAAAACGCACATCTCACGAACAATCTGAAACAATAATTTTATAATATTTATGTAAATTAATTATTTCTCAAAGTTAAGCAAAACTTATGGATCTTTTTTAGAGAAATAGTTGCCAATTAGAAGTTGTGATTTTTTAGTAAAATGGAACCACCGCCACCGCCGAACCCTACAGCGATGTCAGCGCAAAGTCCGCAGCGTAACTCCAACTCACACGAGCACTCTTCGCTCGACTACCGAGGACCCGAAAATAATTACAGGTACGACCCTCTAAATCAACTCATTTATTCATTTATTTTGTTCTGCTACCTTCATTCCATTATTATATCAATGAGGCGACGTATACGCATTAATCAACGACCGAGATCCAAACCGCGTTGTTCAAATTTTCAAACCAATTGCCCAGACCCAAACTCCATACGTTGTTACTTGGAGCGTGTTACAGCGCCACCTATTACCTAACAGAGACTACCTAAATTCCATTTTATTACACACTTTTATTGTTCTAATTTTTTAAATTTGGAACCGCTGTATAATGTCACACTCATCATATTTAAAACGTATTATACACGATCCATCTTGACGTACGTTCCGCCAAGGTAATGCACGATGCAAAACGACAATGAATATGCTTGACGTACGTCATCGCTGTACGTCAAGCCTACTGGCCGGACGTACGTTAAGATGGATCGTGTATAAGACGTTTTATGTAAACCTACATATATTGACAGATTAACAACTCTACGCCTGTGTTTATCCTTATAAATGTGTCGACACTCTTTCCAAAGAGTGCACGGCAGTTAGATAGGTATCCTAATAGATGCAGTGACAGTTATCGTAACGGTCGGTTAACTAACAATTAATTAGTTCCAACAGATGCAACGATGGCTACCGCAGCGGGCGTCCGACGAATGACAGTAGTCCACACACACAGCAACATAACCAACAGCACACCCCGCAACACGGCCCGCAGCATGCACCACAACACGGGCCTATGCATGCACGGGGACCTTCGTTGCCTAATGTACCTACCAATGACCACGCTAAATACAGGCAAGTATATATATTCTTAAATGAAAAAAAAAATTAAAAATTTGCGGCGCTGTAAGAATATCATACCATGGGTATCTTAATAAGAAGCGACAGAAGAAAACATAAAACAAAAAATGCCGTTGTGAACCCGCCTGCTAAGCGTGCCAACTATGGTGAGGACTATGTTGAGCCCCTAAAACTATAATTTTCTCCTGTATTTATTAAATTGCACGTGGAAAATAATTTTCGTGAAAATTATTCGCAAAGGAGAATGGGATTTTTGGGCCTGAAGTTTTTAGGAGCTATCTACTTTTTATTTAAAAGATATATCAACTAATAAAAAACACAATATATTTCTACATAATCTTGATTCCATAAGAGCCATATCCAATTTTTTTAAAGGAATAAATATTAAAATAATCTCCTTACAACGAAACCACATAAATATGAAATAATTATTGATAACATGCATCTCCTCGTAAAGTAAGTATTATTTTATTTTGCGATTTACACCAATGGATAGGCAATTTATTAATGAACATTTCTATTATAATTTTTTTTAAAAGACCACAATTTGATTTTATTAAGAAATTATTTTAAAAACTGGGCGTATTCACTGCCCACGGGCTTGCTGGACTGGAGTCAGTGAGCGCTGAGCTCTTGAACGTGAAACCCGTGTCGTTAGTCACAGCGTCGGCCAGCGCACACGCTCACGTCATCTTATCAGTCGATAATATTATTACTTATTAGGTTATTTATAGGTAGTATTATTTGTTTGTTTTGGGTATAATTTTTCGTATTAGTTATACATATATTTGTTGTGTTTTTTACTGCGCGATGAAGCTTTTTGAGTGTATTTTCTTTGAAGTAAATGGAAAAAAAAATGAAGCATCATTAGCATGTAAGGTTCGACTCTATTATTAACATTTCGACAAATATTATAATTTACACTATAAAAGGCTAATTCAATATTATCAGTATAATATACAGTTAAAAATAATCCTAATACCCAACCACAATATCTTAGTAGGTATAATACTGCCTCGTTGGTCTAGTGTTTGTAGTAGTGCAACTACTAATCATGAGATCCCGGGTTCGAATCCCGGGTCGGGCCAAGTCAGTTATGAGTTTTTCATTTATGTTCTAAGTTATAATTAGTATTACTAAGTAATAGTTTTTTGCTAAAATATAATATATTATTTATTGTCTATTTTTTTCTTCTTTTTCAAAAAATAATTGAGTACATAAGGTGTTCTTAATATACGCCGAATGTCAGAGAGAAAAGCTAGTACATCTTTTGCTAAACTTTAAATACTAAAACCAATTTTAAAACAGACGAATTGATCATAACTCCCTTAGCTATAAATTAAGTTATGAACTAATTAATGGTATTTATTCCAGTTTATGGCAGCCCTGATTTATATTACGTGGCTGAAATTAGGTACTTTTTATTAGGTACATCAAACCAAATAACAGCCGGGCGGCTGACATTATGCACTCCATACATTTCTTATATTTAATTACAGCCCCATTAATTTCCACTAAAAGAAAATAAATAACTTGTAAATTCAAACAAAAATAACTGCATTACTATGTCTATAGTCATATTCATACAAACCAAAAAGCCTATATATGAGATAATGTAAAGTAAGCATAATTTTACCGGGATCGTAACTTGTCAAATAATTAGGAAAATGATCGTTTTTCGTTGCGTACGTGTTTTGATTTTTAATTTAACACTGTTAGGTTTAAAACTGCGAGGTAATATTTGAATAAATATACTTTCCTCTAGGTACAAAGAATTTTTTAGATGACAATATTTGTAGTAATGACTACTAGAAATCTTACATGGAGTAAAAAGGCGAAAAGACTGGAATTAGGGGCATCCACCCTAATTCGGTAAAAAGTATCTAAGTAGGTATTAATATACCTATCCAATATAACTAATCGCAACAGGTACCTATGTAGGTATTATGATTAGATAAAAGGTACTTATCTAAATAGTTACCTACTTTTACTAAGTAAGTACCCGGGCATCATATAATTACAACCCAAAAACCCCTATAAACTAAATTTTTTTAAAACTAAATTTATCTAAAAAAAACTAAACTATTATATAATATTTCTAAATATCCAACTAAAGGTGCGTCATTAAGGCGCAGGTTGAGCAAAATGTCGTGCTAGTCGTTATTTGGGCGATTTTTAGGAGCTATCTACTTTTTATTTAAAAGATATATCAACAAATAAAAAACACATTATATTTCTACATAATCTTGATTCCATAAAAGCTATATCCAATTTTTTTTTAAAGGAATACATATTAATATAATCTCCTTACAACGAAACCACATAAATGTGAAATTATTATTGATAACATGCATCTCCTCGTAAAGTAAGTATTATTTTGTTTTGCGATTTACACCAATGGATAGGCAATTTATTAATGAACATTTCTATAGTAAAATTTTTTTCAAAAGACCAAAATTTGATTTTATTAAGAAATTATTTTAAAATCTGGGCGTATATACTGCTCACGGGCTTGATGAAGTCAGTGAGCGCTGAGCTCTTCGACGGGAAGCCCGTGTCGTTAGAGCGTCGACCGAGGCATACGCCACGTCATATGAGTCGATAATATTATTACTTATTAGGTTATTTATAGGTAGTATTATTTGTTTGTTTTGGGTATAATTTTTCGTATTAGTTATACATATATTTGTTGTGTTTTTTACTGTGCGATGAAGATTTTTGCGTGTATTTTCTTTGAAGTAAATGCAAATAAAAAAATGAAGCACCATTAGCATGTAAGGTTCGAATCCATAATTAAAATTTCGACAAATATTATAATTTACACTACAAAAGACTAATTCAATATTATCACCCAACCACAATATCTTATCAGGTATACTACTGCCTCGTTGGTCTAGTGGTTGTAGTAGTGCGACTGCTGATCATGAGGTCCCGGGTTCGAATCCTGGGTTGGGCCAAAAAGTCAGTTATGAGTTTTTCATTTATGTTCTAAGTTATAATTAGTATTACTAAGTTATAGTTTTTTGCTAAAATATAGTATATTATTTATTGCTTGTTTTTTCTTCTTTTTCAAAAAATAATTGAGTACATAAGGTGTTCTATACTTATATCTCGGTAAAAAGTACTAATATACCTACTTTTTACTATAAACTAAAAAAAATTAAAACTAAATTTAACTAAAAAGACTAAGCTGACCATTTATTTTTTAACTCAAAACAGGACATGGGTTTATTTATACTCTAAAAACTATAACTTTATACAATTAGTGTTCACTATAAAATTATATTAACGGTAATTATTAAATGCAACATATTTTTTTTAATTATTAATTTCATTTGTCAGTGGATTAAATTTGCTTTTAATAAAGTTGGTGATGATTTTAAATACGAATAAAATTCTGGTCAAGTTTTTTTATTGTTACCTTTGTTAACAACATCACCTTTAGAACTGGAACCGTAAGTGTTTTTTTCAGACGTCCACAATTTATTCAAAATAGAAAAATACCCTTTCTACTGGAGCATTTGTACCAGGTAGACATAAAATATATTCGATTAAAATAATTATGTTGAAGATTGTTGACTTTGAATACTTCCATCCAACGAGTTACGGGACAATTTTGTGTCCCGGAGCTTTGTTTGGGGACAATGGGACAGGTGACCGAGAAAAGGGACAGTCCCGTTCAAAACGGGACGTATGGTCACTTTAGCTATAACCCGGCGACGGCTCCGTGGCGCAGTGGCTTAGCAATCAGTTGCTGCGCTGGGGGCCGCGGGTTCGAATCCCGCACGGAACAAGTATTTGTATGGCCTACAAATAATTGTTCCGGGTCTGGATGTTTGTCCTTGTGCAGTTTATGTTTGTAAACTGCCTCCACGACACAGCAGAAAATCCTAGTGTGGGGGTAACGTTTTTTTAAAATTGACACATCCTATTTATTTATTTATTCTTTATTGCACCAAATATTTGTATAAAAGGCGAGCTATCTATCTATTTACCTATAGTGACTAGGTATCTTTTAAACTCGCAATTTTCAATGCTTCATTTTTAATATATAATCTATAATATAAAAATGAATCACTGAATGTGTTGCTAAGCGCAAATCTCGAGAGCAGCTGAACCGATTTCGCTAATTCTTTTTTTTTAAATATTCCTTGAAGTACGAAGATGGTTCTTACGTAGAGAAAAATTTAAAAAATTGCCTGAAAACGTCTAAAAACAACACTTTTCATACAAAGATTCGTAATAATACTTAAAAGTCAATTTGAACTTTAATACCATAACATAAAGTTTAAGTGTTAGTGGAGGGGTTCCGGGAAGGCAACACAATTGAGTGACGTTAATATCGTATAATTAATGTCAATATTTGTCAATAGTGTTTTATAATTTTTATTTTTTGACATAATGTAATTCTTGACTTATCAATAGCAAAATAAGTATTAAAAAAAAATGAAAGAATCGACTGTTATCCCACGTACGAAGTTCGCCGGGTCAGCTAGTTAATTATAAAATTTCATAATTAGATAATATAGGAGAATACATAATTCTAATATAATGCAACTAATATACCGAATAAAAAAATTAAAATACATTTATCGTTGTACGCTGTGTGTATTTACACAAAATAGTTTATTGATGTTGAAAAAATAATACCTACGTTCGTACAGTAGGTGGCGTCCTACATATTTCTTACGCAATATATTGTAGCGAGTCGGCGCGGCGGTCGTTCGCATGGAGTAGTTGATTTAAGTAAAATACAAAAAAGTGGCTCTTTTTACGATCTAGATTTCGAAAAACAATAAAATAAGAAATAACTTAGATAATCGATTGTAGTGTATTATTCGACATTATATCATAAAGATCTATACCATAAAGAATACACTAGTGCAGGGATCGGCAACCTGTGGCCCGCGAGCCACATGCGGCTCTTTGGATGTAAAGCTGCGGCGCGTATAAAAAAAAACATTTAAAAATCGATCCACACTGAGCCATTTGGAGTTGATACTGGGTCTCTAGACATGCAATTGATCGATTTAAAAAGTAAAGCTTTGTGGAGTTGAAAATTTACACAGTTGAAAAGCAATTGAAAGAGTTGGAGGTCCAGAAATATACGTACGTAATAACGTACGTAATGCAACAAAAATGAACAGCTTTAAAAGAAATGCCGCGAGTTGAGGCACTTATATTCGACGCACGGAATAGTCTTCCAGATTGCTACAGTAAGATGAAGAAGTTGGCATTTGGAGTGCTGACTATATCGACATATTCGTGCGAGCAAGCGTTCTCTTACATGAATATACAGTGGAATCCGTTTATTATGACTCCACCTATATTGACCAACCGCTTATTATGTAGTAATTACACAGTGAAGTTTGGTTTTCATATAAAATTCTTTATAACAAAGTCGGATATAATGACCTCACTTATAGTGTGTGACCCATTTTGAATAAATTGTGTCCGGTTATGGTGACCGCCATAATTCCTAACACCTTCGGCAGTATTCGGGAGAGTCACGTGATACCCGAACAGAACGTTAAAATTTAAGGGTAAGAATTGTAGTGGAGGCAAGTTGTCGAAAGACCGAATACCTGTCATGGTAGCAGTAAATATGAGCGGCACAGAGAAAAAGAAATTGCTCATTATTGGAAAGTCACAAAACCCAAGATGTTTTAGCAGTGTTAAATCGTTACCTGTCGATTATGCAAACAAATCGTAAAGCTTGGACGACGTCAGAAATTTTTAAAAAATGGCTTCGAGATTGGGATCGCAATTTGGTGAAGAAAAAGAAAAAGATTTTATTACTGGTTGATAACTGCCCGGCATACCCCAAAGTTAATGATACTTGCATTCCTTCCGCCGAATACAACATCAGTCTTACAGCCAATGGATCAAGGAATAATACGATCACTCAAATGTAATTTTAGGAAGAATCTTGTGCTTAAAAATGATTAATTGCCTTGTACTAATGTAGACCACTCTTCTATAAAAATAACGGTGGTTACGTATATATATATATATAATCTAATAATTAAATAATATTGGAAATTAGATTCTATATTATTGTGAAAAACACTATTTATATATGAATAAATATATTTTTCTTATGAATAAATACGTTAGTTTTTTTTATCAAAAAAGTTTATTACGCAAGTACTATTTATGGTTGGCAGGAAAAAAATTTGTGGCTCTTTAAAAACTTTGAAATTTTGTAAATTGTAATTTTTGACTCTTCCGACTCAAAAGGTTGCCGACCTCTGCACTAGTGAAATTCTCTTTTCTAAACGTTATCTTCCAATAGAGGACTTCTCATTTTTAAGTTTGAACTGTCAAGTCAAACTTCAAATTGAAAGTAGCCTGTTACAGTGTAATAACAGTGAAAAATCACCTGTTACAGTGTTGGTAATAGATAATCACACTTTTACTTATATTACAATAACTCAACTCCTAGATTGACAAATTGTGCCAGATTTTCAGCTATAATTTTTTTATATATACGCTTTCAAATGGTCTTACTTTCATATTGTTAACACTTGGGCCCAAAAATGTATGGAGACGTCTCCTTCTCCTTTAAACAGTAAGAAGTAGTTGTGCCGTGCAGAATTTAAACTTGCAGTCCACAGCGCTGCAACGAGACGCTTAATAAATGCGTTGTGGAGCACCCACGTTCTCACAGCCCCACATTTGTGAACTATAATCCTGTCCCAGAATCCTAGTCTGCGTTGAGACTGCCCACCCTGACCGAAATCCAGTCTGGTAGACATAGTTCCATACTCAACAATGTGGTTGTGTTGTGCAGTGCACGCACAAACTCCGCGTCGCAAGCCGACTACCAGCGCAACTCGGGTCCGGCCTACAAGCCCGTGCCGCCTCCCAAACCGAAGCACTATCGTCCTCCAGATGCCATGCACCACACTCGCAACGGGGTGAGTAAAGTAAAACAAACTTCATGTTTCGTTATATTTACGCGAATTTTGCACATTAAATTGAACTAACTTTAAAGATTTTATCGCGTTCAATTTTAACTTTTTAACTCCCGACGTCAGCCCTCCTACTTTCAGCTTTTGAATAAAGCCGGTAAGGTAGAGGTGTATTACAGTAGATACATTTCGACGTAGTCTAATAGGGAGCCACTAAAGCTTCGTGTGAAACACGGAAACATGATCATATTTACGAGGGTTGAATATGCGCCTTACAGCAAAATTGATTAGACGGTTATATTTTATTTTATTGATCATTAGTAAGTAACATGGACTGTAGCAGAATTATTCTGGTATAAATGGGAAACGAACAGCACAAACGTCGTGAAACATTTTGCTTTATGCAGAGACCAAGAAGTCTTAGAAGAATCCAGTACATTCCTTGTCTCATTCGATCGCAATAAACGAGGCAATTCTGCTTGCTTTTTCGCGTACATACAGATATCTAGCTTTATCGCAAGTCAAATGCTGCAAAATGTGACGCAACCGAAGAAGTTTCATTTCAAAAATATTGATAACAGTGAAATGAGCAAATATATCCATTAATGCAGAGTATGGAGCCCCCGCAAGCAGTGGGTATGTCACCGGCGGCTCGCGCGGCCGCGCCGCCGCACTACTCGCACTCGCACTCGCTGTCGCAGCCGCACCCGCAGCACCCGCCTCACCCGCAGCACCCGCAGCATCCGCAGCATCCGCAGCACCAGCAGCATCCGCAGCACCCGCAGCTCCCGCAGATGCCGCAGCACCAGCAGCAGCACTCGCAGCCCGCGCATCGACCGCACGCCCATCCCAATTACCAGGTCACTGTTCATATAAATTATATAATACAAGGCTATTAAAATTATAGACATACAACTCATATTTAAGGAGCTCGCGAAGCAATTACTTATCTTTAGTTGTTACATTAAAGATAACAAGGCAATACACAAGAAAGTATAACATAAGCATTTTAATCATTTATATTTTATGTATTTTATTTCCATGAATTACAACATTTTTAGTTTAGTATTCCCATATTAACTTTTTACTACACCTACTTCATTCTATCTCTTCATCATCCCAAGGTAGAAGAATGCCTTAGGCATTAAGTCCTCCTATAAACCACGTGTGTATATGAAGTTTTAAATAAATAAGCATCTCCACCACAGACAGCGCTGACTTACACACAACCATGTTAAATAATTAATAAATTAATGGCCGAAAATAAATTTCTAACATACTGAATTGATTTATTCACTTTTTTGCAAACAAGTACGTTCTAAAATATAATTAAACGATATTACTTTTATTATAGTTTTCTCCCGAGACTAAGTCCTCGGGAGAAAACTAACCTAACTTTTACACACTTCTGTAAAAGTTAATTATAAAGTGTGAATTAAAATGATTCATTGCGCTCAGTTCCATTTCGTTTTCTTTGTTGTCTGTTTTCATTGTAAAACATACTTACATCAATAGTTACTTTTATATTCAAATTTTATTTTTTAAAAGACGAAAGGATTGTGTAATTTGGCGGATTATTCAAAATAAAGTCTTTATTTCTTTTGTATCTAATCATTTGCACGCCATACTTCACGGCAAACTGTGTTACGTTAAGACACTTAATTTTTTTTTATATAGAATAAGGGTAACAAACGAACACAACACGCAGGAACCCTGATGGTAAGTGGATGCTGTAGCTCATAAACATCCACGTCTATTCTCGATTAAGAATCAAAATGCAGATGCTCTATAAACCCTTAGGACTAAAATGGAATATCTTGTTCCTGGGTCTCCGGTTGTCTACACTCACAATCAAAAACACAGCAGAATTAAGCTGCTTGGTTGCTGATATTCTGTGAGAGCGGGTATTTCCTCGATCGAGGCAAATTATTCATGCTGCAACCATATTATAGCTGAAGCATGGATCTAGCACGTATAAATTTATTATTTATTCTGTACTAAAATTATTATTAATTTTTTACACACTTATGCAAATAAAGTGGGTATTTATTATTTGTTTTATTTACTTTAACAGCAAGGGATGTACGGTGGGCAGATGCCGCCTCAGTCGCCGCCGTACTCGGGCCCACCTTCGCACCATCGGGCGATCAACTTGCCTCACAACCCCCAACTCATTGGTAAGCTCTTAGCCCAACTAAAACAAGAATTGTTTTTTTTTTGTATGCTGTTTAATCTCAGTCTAACTGAACAAGAAAGACGGAGCTCTGTGTGCATTTCAAGTGCCGCCAAAACCAAGGCATAATAATGACGATGATGATGATGATGAAAAACAAAAGCATAACCATGCATGTAAGAGGCGATGGGAAACTGAAACGTTTGGCTTTATCGTTCATAACGTAATTTTCAGCCAGCATGTCTATCCATTCGATTATAAGTGCCGTCAAGACAAGAGTGAATAGGCTTTGTTAAGCTACATCAGTGTGCTTTACCATTATCGACTGTGTTACATCTGGCGTACAACAGGGATCTCACCTGGGCCCACTTCTGTTTAATATTTATATTAATGATCTGCCTTTGTGCCTAAAATTTTCTGAATCTTACATGTATGCTGATGACTTAAAATTTTGCAGAATAATTGAAACGACAGATGATGCACGTAAACTCCAGTGTGATCTTGACAATATCTTTCACTGGTGTAATTTGAATAAGATGGAACTCAATGCAAAAAAATGTTTCTACGTAAAATTTGCTAGGAAAATGAATCTAGTTTACTACAATTATCACATAGGCAATAATAATTTACAGGAACTAAAAGAGACCAAGGATTTAGGCGTCATATTTGACAGCAAACTCACATTCGTGCCGCATATGGAATATATTACAAAACGTGCCACCAAAATGTTAGGATTTCTTTACAGAAATATTAAATTTTTCCACAGCAATAAATCAAAATAATGCTCTACAATAATTTAGTACGAAGTATCTTAGAATACTGTTCTGTAGTTTGGAGACCACATTATGCAACGCATTCTTTACGCTTAGAACTAATAGAAAAAGATTCATGTGGCATTTAGTATACTCAAATCGAATTTCAAAAAGAAACTTTCTTCGTTTAAAAAACAGCTGTCTTTTTTTAAAATTACATCCTTGGCTAATCGTAGACAAATATCCGACTTACTCTTCGTAAGCAAATTATTAAATAATAAAATTAACTGCCCTCAATTGTTGAATAAGATAAAATTTATTCAACATACCCCCGTAAGAGAATAATTACTATTAGATCACCTCTTCGTAAAACAGTATTTGGCGCAAATTCTCCGATCTCTAGGTTAAGTAAATTGATCAATGAACTTCCCCATGCTTTTGATATTAATTCCGTCTCACTTAACAAGCTCAGAAAAGAACTACTCAAGCATAATGCAAATGTAATAGATTAAGTTTTTGTATTTTTTTAACGTTTTGGTTTTCTGTAACTATGTATTATTCTTGATGTTTATTCGAGTGCATGTTGTAATCACCTATAATAGTTTGTAGCATTTAAAGTAATACCCTATCTACGTATGTATGTAAATTATAATTTTGACAATGTATACAAATGTTGGTGATGCTTTAATAAATAAAAAAAAATTACCACTTACCATCAGGTGGGACAGCTGTCAAGCACTGGCTTATAATAGTAAAAGCATGCTAAATAGATCCAATAGATCCAATAGATGCCGATGTATTATATTATAGTAAGGATTATTAAGGATAACTCAAAAGCTATTGGTCAGACCTTGATTAAATTTATATGGGACAACATGAGAAGCACCAGCTTTCAAATAAAAAGGAATCATTGAAATCGGTTCACATAGAACAAAGTTATGAGGTATCACACATTTTTCATTAGTTGTAGCTCGACCGGGGAAGGACCACGCTCTCACAGAATACCAGCGTAAAATAGCAGCTCAACGCTGCTGTGTTTCGTATGGTGAGTGTAGAGAACCGGAGACCCTTTTTAATGGAAACGAGGCATTCTATCTTAGTCCTCACGGGTGTTAACGCATCTGCATTTTGATTTGTAATCGAGAATAGATGTGGATGTCTATTGATGTTAAACTTGTGTGTATTTAAACTATTAAAAAATTTACGTATTATCATATTATGCGTAATTTTTTTTAATGCGCTTAGGGCATGCACTATTGGATTTACCAATAGTTTTTATTATTATTTAATCAGTTAAAATAGTCGCCAAAATCTATTAAAAAATAAACTGTTTTCTAAACTCTCGAGCTCCTAAATTGAAAATATACTTTGTTTCTTTAGACCTAGCAGGTAGCAGAGAACAGCGTGGTTCAGCTTTCGAGCTGTATAGAAAACCTCAGCATATGCACAATATAAGGTAAAATAGACCTTAAGCACACGCATTTAGTCATAAATTAACTATTATCCATGACATTACGCATTTTTTTCCTTTTGTCATTTTTTTAAATCTTTACAAATGCATGTTTGTAAATTCATTCTTCAAGGAGCTCTCTAGTTCTCCCTCCAACGTTAGGCAAGCCCCTGTACAATTTGCTCTAACATGCAAACACCGATCGCTTCACAAACGACTAACAATGTCTTGTCGGGCCACAGTATTAGCTATGGTATTTTATGTGGTAATCAATTTTTATACATACCTATATATTTTTGTAGCATAATATCTATATCGGGCGTTAGCTTGTCCAGCTGTAATATTGGAATAACATTTGTAAACCGTCACAGTAAGTTGTTTGAAAAGCAACTATTAGCAGTATGTGTCTGCATCTTAGTGCAACTTGTTGATTTCGTTGCAAGCATATTGAACTAAGTTGTCCTTTTCTTTCTCATTTCTATCCTTACCTTCTTCCTCCTTTTCATCATATACAAACTCTTATTTTTTAATGTTTACAATTTACATTTACTTAATAAAGTATCTTTTCTTGATATTGATATGAACTTATTTTCGAAACTTAAGCATATTTTTTTATCATAATGTTACGCAATATCTCTCTCTTTCATTCATTTGTCAGACATTTATTTCAATATGCTTTTTTTTAAATCATTCAATTTATCTTTAGAAAATTATCATTTACGTCGGAACATTTCAGAGCCTTCAATATGGTTGCATTTTGATATTCTAATATTCCATCAATAATGTATCGTATATTGAATTATCTGATGTGTCATAATATTCATCATTGAATAACTAAGTGGGTATTTGGTTGTGGGTTTCCACAGCTCGTCCGATGCGATGAACTCGAGTGCAGAGCCCGACGAAACATTCTCGCCAAAAACTAAAAAGAAATTATCTAAAAAGCCGTCGTTTATAAAGAACGCTGTTCTCGATCTGTTCCGCTCGAAAACGAAATCTTCGAGAAAGGTGTCTCGTCAGAAGTCATTGTGCGAAAGTGATTTGCAGCAGAGACAGATGCCTCAAATGCCGATACTAAGACGTGAGAAATCAGATCTGAGCGACATGAGCATACACATGAGGAACACACAGATTAGAAATCAAATGCTACACACAGGCAGTTCATCCTCATGTGAAAAACCTGTTCTGAAACCGATTCTTAAAAGGCAGAGCTCGTTCTGTGACGATAGAAACGGCTCTATATGTACGGTAAGAGATTACGAAGCTAAACCTGTCTGGAAGAATCTAAGAAGGCAGAATTCAATGTGTGAAATTGAAACCGAACCCAAAGTTACCCCATTGTTACGCAGACAGAATTCCCTCATAGAGTATAATAGGAGAGGAATTTATGGACAAACGTCCAACTTTAATATGATTACCAAAATAGATCCCATTTACCAAAGACAGCAACAAATAAAACATGAACCATTTTACCCCTCTCAATCACTACCTCCAGAACCACTTTACCAAAGCAAAGACCAAGTAATATATGATCCTATACCTAAGCCGAGAAGAACTTATACTTCTCTATACGATACCTCTAGTGAAAACCCTTACGCAAGTAGATCAGAAGTTTTCAATCAAAGTTATGAGAATCCATATGGAAATCGTGATACTATAGCAATGCCTCTTATAGATCCACCATATGCCTCTAGAACTGAATGTATTCGAGATAATCCTTATACAACAAGAAATGATAATATGGAAAGTCCATACGTTACTAAACAAGACGTTTTAAAACAATCTGATTCGTTTTACAACGAATCTCCATATTCAAGTAAAGAACAAATGCTAAGGTCTAGAATAATGTCTGAGAACCCTTATTCTACTAAAGAAGAGATGCTTCGACAGAGGTTCTCAGAATCTCCTTATAATACGAAAGAAGAAATGCTAAAGCAAAGAATAGAATGTAAAGAATCGTTCTACGGCAAGAGAACATACGAACCACCACCGAGTACGTCTTGGTCTGAAAATTCGTATAGCATTAGACCAGACAGAATATTACAAACGCCGATAAACTTTCCAGGCCGCATATCACCTATGAGTAAATGTATGAGTGAGCCACCATATGCTACTAGAACAGAGATGATGGCAAGAATTGGTCAGACGGATTCACCTTATACATTACGACCCGAAATTAAATCAAGTTGCTCTGATAGCAATTATAGAAGCCGGCAAGAAATGTGTGACATCAGACAAGACATAAGGCCTGCTTCAGCAGAATGTACATACGTTACCAAACAGGAGATATTAACACAAAAAGCGGCTTTCCTGGCAAGTAAGGAATCCACTTACGGTGCTAAATTAGAAGAGAAACTAGAAATAATAAAGCAAAGAAACCAAGCAAAGAAAGATATGATTTACCAGACTCGAAAAGAGACAAATGAAAGTGACGCTATGAAAGTAAGAGAACCGTTGTATGTTTCGAAAAGAGAATTAAAAGAGGCTGTTATATACGAGTCACATAATGAAGCGAAAGAAGTTTTGCCTTCTGAAAATTCTCAAGGAAGTAGTGCTAGAAGTAGTCCATATGAATTAAGTGATGCAAATCATTTGTCCCGCCGAGAACCATTATACCAAACAAAAGCCGAGGCACAACTTGCTAAAGAGACAGATACGTTTCAAGAAATTGACTTTTCAAAATTAAGATTAACCGAGTCAAAAACTGATGCTGAAAAAGAAAAATCTAAAGCAGAAAGTAATATTTTAAAAGGGGAACCTATCTACGCACCTAGACTGCACGGCAAAGACGAACATATTTCAAGTGCTTTGAAAGCTACCTCTTCTCCAATTCCATATGAATCTACCACATCTATGGAGACACAGTACGCTTCTGAGTGCAGTATGAATTTTGAAAATAAGCCTCAAAGCACTCCGTATGCATCGCAAGATTTGCAAGATAAATCAACAAAGTCTAATAGAACTGTGAAGTTTTGCGAGAGAATTGTAGAAAAAAGTCCAGAGAGTAGTCAAGATACGTCTGAAAATATGTCTGCGAGTCGTAATGATACAACGATCATCAACAACGAGAACACTGTGATTCAAGCGTCATTTTCAGAAGGAAATGAGAGTGGAAATAAAACGACTGAGGTTGAGCCAGATGGACCTCACACAACTTGGGGTATTTTTGATAGCGAAGGGGGTGTACTAGAAGATAGACAATGGGGTGTATCCCTTATTATACCACCAAAAGCGATAGCTCCGGGTATCAAGCAAAAAATCTACTTTACGGTGTCAGATCCGCGACTGAGCCAGCGCGTGGGTGGACCTCCCATCGATATGGATAACGGTAAATGCTTTTGTAACAAAGCACGCGTTGATTGTAGTATCGTAGACAGCACTTACTAATTGGCTATTAATTCACTGAATGGAATGGACAATCAGATAATGGGAAATGCAAATGTGCAAGAATTGGGATTGTGATTGTAGTTCCGAATGATTTCCTTCAACAATATCGCTTTAAATAGTTTGGAGTTTAAAAGAAGTTTTCTGTATAAAAGTATTTAAGTATTGCATGAGTTACTGCATGTAGATGTTGTGGTGTTTGAAATCTATTTATTTGTTGAAATATTTTTATATCATGTATATTAATTATGTATAATACATAACCTAAGTTAAATCACCACCAAAATTATTTAATATCAATGAATTTATATATTTATTACTAACCGGAGGTCTAACATCATATTTTTGTATTTTTATATTTACACAGTGTCTGCCACGCAATACACTCGTACTTAGAGATTGAGGAGCGGAGACGTCGACTGTGCTACCTGCACCCAACAGTATGACCCGTATGTTTGATCAAACATTTGATGTGTTTGTGCACTGTAAATGTATTCGTGCAAATGGATGTTTCACTGTTTTGTACGTGTTTCACAGTTTTGCAATGTCTATCAAATGGAGTCGACATCTTTCGGTCTTTGCTTTATTTTCGTTAAATATCACATAAAAAAATTTAAATTCTTAGTAAAATTTAGCTATGGGTTTTTATTATATTTATCAATATTTATGCTCATTTTTGGTTTCACTTTCTATCTGCCTTGCTTGCTCTAACGACCTGCATTAATGTGTTGCGATTTGTGTTTGTGTGTTTATGTTGACGTTGTTCCCTACTTTCAAATTTTCTGCAAATCTGGCCCATTTTATTACATTGGGCTCTTTCTTTACACAGTTCTATTTTAATATGTTATTTGGATTAATTACTTTTTCCTTGCACAATAATTAATGAATTAGCTAGTAAGTTAAGTAATGATTGAACTAGTTTATTCTTTGCACAATTTGTTACTGCAATTTTAAATAATATTTTTGAATTCAACATTAATATAGACTATTTTGATTTGAGTATACATTGTTTTAGTATTACACGTTGATAGCATTGTAACAGCATTTTAGAAAAGGTAGACTATTTCTTTTTATGTACATTCTTTTAATGATATGCTATGACTGTGATAGTATTTTAAAAGAGGCAATATTCACAAAATATAGCTTAATGCTGCTGTGTTTCGTATGGTGAGTGTAGAGAACCGGAGGCCCTTTTTATAGGTAACGAGGCATTCCATCTAAGGCCTCAGTGGTGACAACGCATTTGCATTTTGATTCTTAATCAAGGATAGATGTAGATGTCTATGGGCTACAGCAACCACTTACCATCAGGTGGGCTGTGTGCTCGCTTGTCACCCTTCTATAAAAAGAGCATTTTTTATTATGAAATATTTTTAAATTAAAATTTTGTACCCAAATTTGCTATTTTTTTTATTTTTCACCGAATAGTATCGAGTCTTGAGAGACGAAACATTATCATGAAACTAAACATAAATATTTTTACTTTGACTTTACATAAATACGTAAAACGGGCTGTGGTCAAATTTGTATAGCTAAAATGAAATATTAAGAGGTGTGTGTGTGTGTGTGTGAATGAGCAGGTGAGGCGATGCTGTCGCCGCTGGTGATGTGCGGGCCGCAGGGGCTGGTGTTCCTGCGGCCGGTGACGCTGCGGCTGCCGCACTGCGCCAACGCCGTGCCGTCGCTCGGCCTCACCATCAAGGCCACCGACACCGAGGCGCACCTCAGCACCGACTGGGACCAGATACACCTGCCCGCCACCACCACCTTGAACACCGTCGCCGTCAAAGTCGACCACTTTTAGCGGCCGTTGCACTTATATACCAGAATTGGGCTGTCCATACCGCACATGTTAAATATTATCACACTTCTTGTGAAATATTAGGGGTATTATTTTTGCATTATTAGTTTCTTCGTTGAATTATATTCTGCGATATTATATCTGTCAATATTCCTTACCTGAAATCAATTGAAAGATTTTTTTAAATATTTCCCTCCCTATCTTAACTTCGCTATTATTGTGATGTAACTTATAATTTATAAAAAAATGAGATATCAGTCGCGGACATTAGTAACGCGGGTTGCGGCTTGGACAGTCCTGCTCGATCCACAAAAATGCCCACTGTTTATCCAAATCACCACAATGCAAGTGTACGTTATAAATTATTGATATTGTGTTTATTCTAACACTAAAGAATTAACGTGTCAATTAATGACATAATATATAAAAAAAAACATTGTTATATGATTGTTGCTTCGTCAATATTATACTCACATAAAACAGTGGAAAAAAGCGTTTTTGTTGATTTAACTAACCACATACCATTTCTTTTCACAGTTCCTTAATAGAGTCTTTCTAATGATTCACACTCTTCAATATATACTGCAAAGCCGTTAAAAGCCAGAAAAAAATAAAAAAAAATACTGGCGTCAAGGTTATATAAATGTGGCGATGTAACCATAAAATTGTTGTAAACAATGATAAAATAGTTAACTATAGTCCGTTCGATGAGAGTTAGTAGTTATAAGAAAGCAGGGTTCCTAAACTCACTACAAATTGCGGCCGGCAAATTATTTTTGCAAACATAAATATGAAAGGTTATAAAAAAGCCGCCGCGTCGGCTCGCGCTATAAGGTAAGCGACGCCCGTCACACAGATTGCGATACTTAAGCGACAGTCGCTATTGCGAGATGTCACAGTCATTATCAACTCTCGCCGAACAGACTTTAGACCTAGACCTTGCTAGGTATCGAAATATGTTAAAGTGCCCAGAGTGGAGATGATCATAACATTTACACGTTCATACTTAAAATTTATCTTCAGAAAAACTAAGCGGTGTCAGTTGCTTACTCAGTGTTTGATCTCTTTTTATATAATTTGTCATCATTAATGTCGTATGTACGCTTAGTTCATTAAGTTTAGAAATGCGCATGTGTACCGGTACACAGGGATATTCTAATTAACTAAAGGTACTTTGTAATATGACGGCAAAAGACTTCCCATAGAAAACTAAAGCTATGCAAGCATTCGGTAGCTTTAGTTAATGCTTAAACAACGTGTAACAAAAATCCTGTGGTTCCCGTTAAGTACGTTATCAGGATCAGTATTCAAACCTATAGAAATGACTTTTTTAAAAATCGACCATAATTATTTTTTTAATTTTATTAAGTTTTTTTTTTAATTTTTTGTGGTTTTATTACCTCTTACTCCCCAGACAATACAGAGATAATAAAATCACATGCAATTTGCATACAATGATGTTTTTTAAATAAAATAAAAAAATATTGTTCGAGTTTTAAAAAATTCGAACAATATTTTTTTTTATAATTTCTATACGTTTGAATAATGATCCTGATAATGTACTTAACGGGAAGCACAGGGTTTTTGTTAAACATTGTATCATTAACTTCACTGAAATGCAATTATTTAGTAAAAAAAAGCAATAGAAAAATTTAATTTTTGGCACTTAAATATTTGTAAAGTTTCGAACTGATCCGTTCTGATGAACTAAATCAGATCTTACATTCACGAGTTTGATATGAAATTGCGCTTTGTTATGGAATGTTAAAAATTATTCAAGCGTGTATATTTTTTTGGAAATATCAAAATAAATCCTTTTATGTACTCATTCTGACTTGTTTCTGTTTTCTGAGACGTATATTTAATGCGAATACAATGTTAGTCATTTAAAAAAATCGTGCCCTTTATATATAAATGTCTAGTCACCATATCGCACAATATACATAATATATAACAGTTGCAGTAACACTTTTCGATATACTAAAAATATATAGATTATTAAACTGAACGGATCAGGACGTTGACATAAAATATGTAAAATGTAAAACTAGTTCTAATTCCCACCTATTGTAATTAGATTCGTCGCTCCACGCAGTATAGTACGAGTAAATTAGTGGTGCTAAAAGTAACATTTTAATCGATTAATTAAAATTACCTTTAGAAATCGACTGCAAAGAATCTCTTAATGTTATTAACGAGATACAAAGATTCGTCACGATTGATATTTCATATCATGATTTGAGATTGTATGAATGGAGAATGGCATTCGATTGTTCTAGAATTTTTAAACTAATTTTTTTAATAAATGCTTTACCACATCTAGGCTATCAGTAGAATCTTAGTTGAATGTTCATATAATATGTTAAAGTTAATATTTAATATGCATTTTAACGTGTATTTTAGAATAATTAACAATCATTTCGAAATACTAGTGATTATGTTAAATTTTATCAATTTTGGCTTCCACAGATTAAAAATGATGTTTTAAATTCCTATATTGTAATTAATTATTATATGAATTTGAACACTAATGTTATTTTACAGTGTAAAATAACATTAGTGTTCAAATTCATGAATTTTGTATGTTAATCTTGGTTATACGAGGAAGCGAGGCGTTTATGGTGTAAGTAACTACGCGGTTAATATCACTGGATATGAATGATACTGTGTATTGTACATTTTCTTGTTACTAGTGATACGGTGAGTTAAACTTTGACTCGATTATTAAATTTTATATATACAACAAATGCACGTTGTTTAATTTCCTTAATCCTTAAGATAATTAAATAATTCAGAATAATTTAAAACTGCAGTGTACAATCAGTACGTAGCCGCTATGAAATTCATAGTCGTATTATTAATTTATTCCAAAGTTACTGACTTTCTGAAAGTGAAGAAAGCTTCGTCATCGTTTCAATAAGTTCTTCACTGCAAGCTGTATATGGGATTTTAAATGCTCAAGAGAGCTATGTAGAGAAATTCAGAGTTTCTCTGCATGATAGAATCCATAAGAAGGTATCACACTAGAAAAATAATAAATGACATCTCGAAGAACCGATAATAGATTAGGAAGAAAGGTTCTCGAGTGGCAGCTCGGTTCTGGTAGGCAACTTAAGTACAGTGAAGGGACTAGGTGGAGAGACTACCTGGTGAGGTATGCAAAGATTTGATTAGCTCAACATGTTTTGTGGCAGACTAAAAGAAAGCTATGTTCAGCAATTTACAGGCTGTCATGATGATGGGTAAATTAATTTGGTTCATTAGTTACATGTTGAGAAAACTCGCTAAAGAAGATTATAAGAAGTCGCTCCTGAAATTATAGTTATTTTGTGTCTGTGATATCTCCAGGCACTATCAAAGTTGGGCTGGACAAAGGTTATTTTTACCACTGATTTACTTTTTTTTAAATTATTATAAGCCAGTGCTTGACCACAATCCCACCTGGTGGTAAGTGGCGATGCAGCCTTAGATGGTAAATCGCACTGTCTTATCGTAACAAAAGCCTATTCACTCTTGTCTTGAAGACGCCCAAATTGTATTCGGACGGAAAGATAGACGCCGGCCAACTATTCCACTCCTTTGCTGTACGCATTACAAAAGACGAAGCAAACTGTTTGGTTCTAATGCGTGAATATCCATAACAAAGGGGTGAAGACCTGCCGACCGTCTGGTTGTCCGATGGTGGAAAGGAGAGGGAGGAATTAACAGATTCGTTGCGGCACCAATTTTCGACAACTTCTTCAACAAATATTTCATGACACGCCGTGCGTGTCAAGCACTACAGACCGATGACAAAAAATGACACGCCTATTGTGCCATCCGCCATGTGTAAAAGTAATGTTCTTTTTTATGCTTTTTTACTTGTTTAGACCTAATTAAGTTTATTTGACATCAAACATAAGTTACAAATGGAAGGATACTTGTTTTTAGTGGGTAACTACGTGTTTTTTTACGCGTTTTCTTTGAAATTGAGAGAAAGTGACTTTTTTTATGAAGAGATTACAAACCTTTTGTACTATTTTTTGTTGTTATAAAAAAATCATTTATATAAGTAGGTACAGCTAAATCACCCTGGAAACCTTGGTTTTATTAAATTAAATTTTCACCTAATAATAACATTTGTAAATATCAAACAATGAAGAACCTTAATTTGAAAAAAAAAATGAGGTATATCATTCATTGATATTTACAATTGTTAAATATTATTTAATGTTATACAAATGTAAAAGTAAAGTCGATCTGAAAACGTCTAATTAGTAAGAATAGCAAAACAAGTGTTTTCAAAAGGAAAATAACGCCGGCGCTATACGGCGGCGGATTGACAAAAGACTATTTATAAGCGAACTTTTTTTATGCATGAACGGTTTCGAACTGTTTCAAGCAAAAATAAACCTTATACCATATCACAAGAGCACATGGTACATCGTAGGTCTATTCGGCCATGTGATAGTAATAAGACGGCAGTTCAACCATTTTAAGCAAAATTAAACAATAAGACAAACGCATTGTTTTTTTTACAGGAGACTTGTTTTCCAGAAATTTATTTACAACTTGAGTTTGTGAGCGATCGCAATGAGTGCTATTATTTGTTACTTATTAGACAATTTTTCCATAACATGATTTAAAACCCACAAAGTAAAAATAGTACCATGTACACGTTATAAAAAGGTTGTCAACCCCTAAAAATTTCAAATTTTCAAAATATCCAGAAACGAAGCTGCATGCATGAACTACTCGCAAAATAATGAATATTTTGTTCTGGATAAATTTTCCAAAAAAGCAATTTGAGCGAGTTATAACGAATTTTAAAAAGACACGACTCGCGTGTCACCAGCACTGAACCGGTTAAAGCGTGTAATTCCTGCGCACACTCACCGAAATGCATGCTATAGAATACCGAGAGACTGCCTACTCTGCGCCTGTGCTCGAGGCTGATAAGATTGTTTTCAACCAAATCAAGGTCACCAATGAGCCTCTTAGCACGTCTCGCCACTGAGTCTAAT